TGATGGAACTGGGGTTCTAGGAGGCATCTTTGTCCTTAGCAGACAGATACACACTGAAGTTTTCAGGAAGGAAGGTCATGTCGACTGTAGCTAATTTGCAAGTGACTCAGGAGGAAAAAAATTGGGAAGAGGAAATATGGCCAAACCATTATGCATTGTTGAACCCAGGTGGCGAGTGTAAGGATGGTCACTGCACTCTATTTTTTTATATCACTGAAAATTTTCAAAACGAGAAGCTGGAGTAAATGACAGTGACTGTGTCATTTGCTTTGGGTGGCAGACTCTGCCACTCGCAGAGACACCCAGTCTTTGCACGGACCGCTATTTACCTGCCATCAGAAAGGAAGGCTCTAGCGCTGGCACAGTGCCCTCCCACAGCGGGCCCTGAATTATTTATCAGCGGGCGACTACTGCCTTCTCTTTCCGGCTTTCTTTTTCGGAATCTGCCACTCTAGCTAAAACCAAGCTGAAGTCTTTACCATCTTTCCAAATGCTTTGAAACCACAGAGGGAGGTGGTCTTGCAAAGATAAGGGCAATTGAAGAAGAGATTGTTCCTGTGGCCGGTGGGATCGTGATCAGCATGCTAAGGGAGCCGCCGCTATTTGTAGCTCCGTGCCATGTTCAAAGTGCTGTTTGATTATAAAAGGAAATCAATTCTCTTCCAGCCCTCTGTGAGCTGCAGTGTTGTATATGGGTTACTTTTCCTTAAGGCGTAAATATAGTCACAGCAGCCCCTCTGCTCCTCTTAGATTTGAAATGCTGTGCTCTGTAAACTTCACCCCTTCACCTCTCTAATCACCCGTTCACCGATCCACTCAAGGGCCAGGAGTTACAGGGGAAGACGGGGTACAACAAAAAGTGGACACACGCTCGAGACGTTGACGAGCAAGAACGGCACTGATCAGTGGGGAGGTGGACAGGACAGAAGCCACATCACCTTCTACACAGTGTTTCTCAAACTTCAATCACTGTCCGAAATGCAGGATTTCAGCCATACGCGAGGAGTACTGTTAACTACAGAACTATTACTTAAGATCCCTTAAATCCACTGAGAACAACTTCGGCGCCTACTGTGGTCTCATCCTGAACATCACTGTGTAATCACCCCACGGGTCCTGAGCAGCACGCGCAGTCAGTGAGACGCGTGCCGCACCGTCCAGGAACCTCCTTCCCCAAGAGGCTTTAGGGGCAAACGGATCGAGATGAGAGCACTGGCTTGTGTGTGTTTGCACACATATGAGATACAAGCACATTTCAACTCAACATAATTTTGCCCCTTCCTTCTGTGAAGGCCTCCCTTTGGTAGTAAATCAGTGATCTGCTTAGTACAGTTGATGTCCCAGAAACTGAAAGAATGGATTCAGTGACGGTTTTGGCAACTGGAAACCAGCCGGTGGTGAATGATCAGGGAGATCACGTATCTATTCAGACGCAGACACCACATATGTTCCAAAAGCTTAGAATGAGGAGCATCACATGAAGCGACTGAGAATGTTTCATAGGTAAAACAGTTGGCTTTCTTTCTCGGTGCTTTGTATTTTGGTCTTAAAGAGTTTGGCACCTCCAGGCTGCCCCTCATTCATTTCCCTTTTAATAGATCGCCCTCATAATGAGCTCCTTTCTTGATGCAGAGCCGGGGCCACGCAGGGGCGTAGGTGTCTTAAATATACTTTACATTGCTTCTGTCTTTCCTTTGTCAAATATTTCCCACATCCCTACCATACCTAGGCCTTGGGCTGCATGCTGCGGAAACCACAAGAGCAAAACAGACCTGGCTCCCGACTCAGGGAGCGTCCAGTATAGTGAGGGAGAAAGACACGAAGCCATCTCCCAAGCAAACAGAAAAGGGCTCTGAGGAAGTGGTATCTGCACTGAGGCAGGTGGGGGGAGGGGGGAGTGAAAAGAATGTTTCAGGCAAAGGAAACATCGAGTGCAAAGACCCCCTCTAGTGAGGGGGCAAGATGGGAGCAAGTCATGCCTCCAAGGAATTAACAGTGGCTGGAGCCTGGGACAAGAGGGGCCTAGACAGGCGTTGGCCCTGCTAAGCTGGGCCCATAGCCATGGTAAGGGGTTTGGTCTCTGATCTAAGAGTGACAGAACCCACTGAAGGAGGGGACTCAGTGAAAATCGAGGCTCTGTCAGCAATGAAGAAGAGGTAAACGGTTATCAGGCACACAAGCGGCACTTACAGAAACACCCCAAACATCACCCATCCAAAACAACTAGCCCCCCTTCCACCCTCCTGTAATCCATGTGGTTTGCTGTTCCATCTCAGCGAATGGCCTCATCATTCATCCAGTAGCTCAAGCCAAAAATCTAGGTGCCATCCGTGACACCCCTGTTGTCTTCACCCCCCCCCCCCATATCTCAACCATGGCCAAGTCCTGTCCACTCCACCTCTAATTGTCTCTGGAAGTCACTCACCTCTCCATCTCCACCATCGTATCTGTGCAGTTGTCTCTTGCTGAACTACTGCAATGGTTTCCCCAATGCTCTCTTCCTCTTGTGGCCCTACGACCTGCTCTCCACACAAAGTCACTGTTTCCAAGTGCAAATCTAACCATACCACTCGTCTGCCCGAAGTCCAGGGGTCCTGGGTAAATCTTTATCAGCCCGAGCCAGCATGGCAGACTGCCCACTTGCCCCCGGCTGATTATGGGTGGAGACTGACTTATGGTTACCGGTACATGGTTACGGCTTCTAGGGAGCTGCTGGGAAAGGTCTTCCTGCTCTTCAAAAGAGAGTACGGGAAGAAAAAGATCTTTTTGTTTGTTAGACAGTGCCACGTCTGGGCGTGCCTGACACAGCAGCAGCCATCTTGCTACCAACCTAGAAATGCACCCAGGGGTTCCAAGTAAAGCGGTGCCGCCCCTGGGGCCTGTCCTGCCCTGTGAGAGAACACTTTGTCACATAACTCGATTTAAGTTGGGTTTTCTGGTATTTGCAGCTATAAGGGTTCTAACTGGTATGTGTCCGAGGCATCAGGGCCTAGTGGGCAGTTGGATATGTGCACCTGAAGCTCAGGGGAGAGGTCTGAGCTGGAGAAATAGCAGTCCCCAGTGTAGCTTGGGGAAGGGGTAAGATTGCCAGGAACAGAGGAGAGTGAGATGGAAAAAAGTTTTGGAGATGGTGATGCGCCTGCTAACCAGAGGGGCCGAGGAAGACCACCTGTAGCCAGCAGAAAATAGTTCCTACTTGCCTTTTACACTGAGACTTAAACTCCTAAGTGTATTCAAACTGGACAAAAGGAAGTGGTTTGGGAGTGTTTCCAGCGAGGGGAGGAAGTTGGGCTTCAGAACGCGCCCTTGGGATTAAATGGCTGCCTGCCATTTAACATGTCCATTTTACCAGAATTCCCAAAGCAACCAGAAAATTGAACAAACAACCCGGTCGGAGTGTAAGATCCTGAGTTAGGTGGAGGTTGGACAAGCCTCCCAAGAGAAGGCACCATTGTAAGAAAAGGCTCGGAGGTGTGAAAGCCAGGGCAGCAGTCTCAGAACGAGCCTGGGGACCAGTGCAGGAGATGAGAGGGAGATGGGAATGAGGTCGGCATTGGGTGTGCCTGGGAGGTCGGGCTGAGTTTAGGCCTGTCTGCAATGGCTCTTTAGTTGGTGGCAAGGTTTTTGAGCAGTGTTAGAGCTGGTAAAGGAATTCCAGATCCAAGTGCAGGCTTGTGAGGTAGAAATAAATAAAAATGACAAAAGGATCAGAAGCTAGCGTGCCATAGGAGGCTTTCTCAAACTTCAGAATAAGCACCAGAATCTGTAACAAATGCAAACTCCTAGTACTCGTCACTGCCCTACCTAACCAACGAGACAGAGAGGAACTGACCTATATACCATATTTTGTAGTGTACAATGCGTACTTTCTTGCCCAGAATTTTTGAAGGAAAAATAAGGATGTGCATTATACAGGGGTATAATCATTACATATCATGGGTATAATAATCCCATGTAATAACACACACAAACACGTGGGTGTGCATAATACACAGCAAAATATGGTAAATACTTTTTCCGCCCATGGTCCCTGATTGGTCTGTCTTCATGCAAATGAGGACTCCAAATCCTCACAGTTTGATTGGTTCAAAAGGTACTGTCCTGATTGGTCAGAACGGAGCCATTTTGGCTGATGAGTGAAGTAAGTTCAGAACCTCCTTTATAAGAGCTGACTCAGATGGCAGGAACACGGGGCAGGAGGGTAGTTCGTTCCAGGCTTTTCCCTGATGGGCGGTTTGAGGGGTCCCTGAGTCCAGTTAGCTGCCAGCGGCCCTTCTTACTACATGTCTTCTTTCTCAGGGTCCACACATTTCTCAAAGCTCCTTTGGCAGGACTACTGTCGCGGGATGACTTGGGAGTTTGGTTCCCATCAATGGCATCCAAGTGCCTCTACTCTGTGACGTAGAAAACCGGTGTTCTCAGTATTACGTAAAGCCGTCTTCCGGATTCTCCGCACTTGACACACCCTCTAGTTGCCAGTCAACGCGGCGGTCAGGGGCCTGGTGACGCTGCCAGGAGCAGTCAAGGATCTGGTGGACCGGGGGCGGTCACACGCACCACAGTCCTACAAGTCTCTCGCGGGGACTTCAGCCCCGAGCCAGGCCCCACCCCGGGCCAGGTTTGGAAAACCCGAAGTCACAACCTTTCTGAAAGGCTGCAGCAGCGACACACAAATATCTGGGCGGGTCTCAATGGTGACTGGCTGACGCTGTAACCAATTATGTACAGGCGCTTGTCCGTCTAGCGCGGCTTAGACTCGGGATTTGACATTTCTCAGAGCGCTGTTACGTAAGGGGTGGGCCAAGTGGTGCCCCACCCTAGCGGAGGAGATTTCATTGGCAGGACAGAATGTGGTCTACCCAACGCCCCCGGAAAAACGTCCTTGACAGACAGGTGCGGAAGCCACTTGACGTCGGGAGTCTGGGCGGAAGTGTTGGAAGCCAGGGGTGTGGGGTAGGGGGCGGATCTTGACTCGGAGCGTAGGGCGGGGCGTGGAGGGGTGCAGGCAGGGGGGTCGGGCTGGCGCTGCGGCGGCGGCGGGGATGCCGTGGGTCCCTGACGGCGCTCGGCAGGCCGGAGCACTGCATTGAAGGCACTGAGGTGAGGTGCGCTGGCAGGCAGGCGGGTAAGTCTGTGAGGGTCGTGGAGTCTTTAAATCTGGCCGCCAGTGTCCTCGGCCGGCATTTTTCTGCCCTGCTGGGTGCTTTTTCCTCCATAGCGATGGCAGCCGCGCTGGTACATTGGGGGGGCGGGGCTGGGCACCTGCTGCGCCTGCATCGGAGGTGGGGGGATGGCGCTGGGGTCTGTCCCTCTGGGAGCTGGGCCGGGTTGGCCCGAGGAGGAGGAGGAGGAGGAAGGAGGGCTGACTAACCTGCCTCATCCAGGTCCCGCCTTCCCTGGCTCTGTCCCTGTGCCCGCTGTCCCTGCACCCTAGTTGGGGGTGGGGGGGGCGAGCCTTGGAGGCCTTTAGACCCCCCACCAGAGGGGCTTGTGGGCCCGGGCCGCCTCGAGGTAGCCATAAAGCCAGGACATGGCCCCTGCCTTATTTCATGTCAAGACAGGTTTGTCCAGATTTTCTGGGTGCGCGGAGATGGGTTTCCGCCCCGTTCCTGGGTTCCTGGGTGCCCGTCTGACTGTCCCCCTCTGTTGCCAAACATGGGCCGTTCCTGTCTTTTTTCTGGGCACTGTTCCGTGGTCTCGAATCGTGGCATTTACGGCTGTTCCGGGTGATGGATTAAGGTAGTGCCTATGTAGGGACCGTGGCGCGTAGGAGGAAACCAGCACCCGTCTTGGAGTTTTGGCTCACGCCATGTACGTATCACTTGTACAGGTCCAGCATTCTTGTTTGTATGGCCTAACCGGAAATTTTTTAATTGTTCCCTAATGACTAGGACGTATTTGTTTCGTCTGTGTCACTCCTGCTGGAAAGCGCTGTACTGCGCCTGGGTAGACTAGACAGCTAAAGAATGGTGTTATTTCCAGGTGATTGTGTTGCTGCTGTAGAAACATATCTCCTGCTGAAACATAGGAGGAACTGGGGGCAACTTTTATTTCTTAAAGGCAAAGTTACAGAATCATTACGTTACAACTGGAGGGGACCTTATAGGTGATTGGCCCACCCCAGTAAATTTACATGGGAGGTGATCCCTGTCCCAAGGGGACGGGTGTCCTCCCTGTGAATCAGGTCTGTCTGGGATGATAGTGGGGAGCTGTGCACTGTCTGGCTCTGGAAACCGGTGCTGTGTTCCTGTGAGCCAAACAGGACACATTTTTGATGTTCCAAGTACTGTCATGCATATCACTGCCCTCTTTAAGGGCAAATTTGAAGAAAACTTTTAGTACTAAGATGCTATTTACTGTATTTACTGGATGTAAGTCAGCAGGTCCGTGGAAGAACCAGAGTCCTCATTCCTTTGGTTTAATTACTGGGTGGCATCAAGTCAGCAGTAATTGGCACTGGCAGGTATGGGAGATTGTGTACCCTCTGTGGGGTCATAGGCTTGTCAGAAAACACATTTTTGCTGATTAGGGACATATTTGGCACATGCTCCTCTAATGATTTACAGAAGTAAGTTAAAGCTGTTGCTAAATTTTGACACTTTTCACCTTCAGCCTTCTGACTGGTGCGAATCGGAATCCAGAGAAGGAACTCAGCCTCTTGTGGGGGGGCACCGCCAGGGCAGAGGAGGTGCTATTCTCACAGATGGGCTTGCTGTCTTCCCTTGGCTTCTCTTCCTTGTATTTTTGTATTTTTAGTAAATGACCCACTGACTTTTGTGACCTTAGAGCCATGCTTTGTCACCCACTGATTAAAGCTCTAGTAGAAGATGATGTTTGTGAAAGCTCTTTTACACTCCTCTGTTGCTTTCGTATATGTTGGCTGGCAAGTCCTCGTATACCCAGTCCTGCAGCCTCCACCCTTCGAGCAGCCGAAAGGCCATTTTGGAGGGACAGTCCCACTAGGGCCCCATTAGCCCCCTCTGTTGCATGCCCCTGTACCCTCGTTTTTCTCCCTGGCAGAGAGAATCATTTTGTACTTAAGACAACTGACTTAATACACACTTAAAAATGGATCTTTAATTCCCTGTCACCCTGAGAAAGCACTAGACTTTCTGTGTTATGTGGGTGGAGGGCCTTCTGAACCTGGTGTTCCCCAGGGTCAAATGCCTGGATGTTATGCTACTGGCAACTGTTACAGTCCGTGTCTTCATTCCCGGCACCAGAGCTGAGTCGTGTCACTGAACGTTCTGAATCCGGGCCAATATTCTGAATACTGGGCCCCCACAATCTGTAGACACTTAAAGGTGGGAAAGAATTTGGAGTCAAAAGACAGGACATTGAAGGAGGCTATCTCTGAAAACACTTTCCCCCTAGGTTCTTAAAACTATGCGTTATCTTATGTTATACTACACACCTCTGCAGAGAGTGTCAGAGTTAGTACTTAATTATTTTAGTTGTCTTAACTTTGGTGTTGGCATTCGTGTCTCCCATCTCATTTTCAGGGAAAGTGAGTTTGGGGGACGGGAGAGTCCGATGACACAGAGACTACTGAAATTTTTTGTGTGGAGGACACGTTATGAACCCTTTCTGGAGCATGTCTGCGAGCTCTGGACGCAAAGTAAGTATAGTTGATAGATTCGGTGAGGAAACAGTTTGCATCAAAATAGAGGCCAGAATAATTCCTACCGAGATTGCTCTGTAATCTTAGCAAGATTATTTTGTTTTTCTAGTTCAGGTTTTACTTTTGAGAAGTAATCATTTAGTTGATTAAAGTTAGTTTCTGAGACTGAGATCCCATCTAAAACAGAAATCATTCTGGTAGTCATGATTCTAAGACTGTTTTGACAGGTGATATATACATAATCGTGAAATTTGTTACTATAGTAGCTCTTACGAAACTGCAAGATTCTATGGTTAGAGAAGCCTTAGGAAAGGCCAGTCCAATGTGAAGTCAGACCAGAAGGCACTGGTTTAATTTTTCTAAATAAAATGTTTTTAATTGCAAAAATACATTGTAGCAAGGCCAAACATGTAGACAAGAAGAAAACAAATATAACCCATAATTCCATCTCTGTGGAAACACCACTGCTGATCATTCTCTTTAATGCACAGGACGTACATTTTTAATGCAGCGAGCACACAGCCTGTGCGGCACCAGAGCCAGGGAAGCAGCGGTCGGGTGGAGCCCAGTCGCACGCACTCAGACCTCTCTCTCTGCTGCGGGGGACAGTTCGTGTGTGGGGGGTTGGGGGGCTGGAATGTCGGAACGCACCCATCAGGGACAAGGTCAAAACTAAACCCATTGCTAGTGAGATACTAGCTTCCTTCTTTGTTTCCAACCCAGGTGCTGTTAGGCAGTGACTAATTTCAGTCATCATTATTGATTTTTTAAAAAGTTTTCAAAGATGTTTATTTTTAGAGAGAGGGCAAGGGAGGGAGAAAGGGGAAGAGAAATACTGATGTGCAAAAGATCGGTTGCCTCTCTGGTGGCCCCAACCAGGGACCCGGCCCACAAGCCCAGGCACATGCCCGCACTGGTCAGGGCCATCTCTGCGGACTCAGAGCTGCGCAGCACCATGCGTCCTGCAGTGTCTAACTGCCCAGGGGCTTTGTAGCCTGTCCAGTTGTCTCATTGTTTACTAACCCTTTGCCCTTTTGGGGGCCACCGGGAGAGGTGATTTCTTTCTTTCACTTAAATCTTGTAAACATTGGCTTGTCTGTATAGGATGCAGCTAACGAGAGTTTTCTAATGCTTTAGTCTTGCTTGGGTTTATTCTACTCTTTATGATGGCCCAAGGCCTTTCCAGTCATCTCGATCATGGTGCTGGAATATCCTTGAAGAGAGTAATTCCAGCTTTTAGGTCAAGGACCAAGATCTCACGTACTGTTGCGATTAAATAGTCACCCTAACAAATGTTCTCACCACTTCCTCTTGAACAGCGGTCTGACGGTGACGAGAAGACACTGACGGGGGACGGGAAAACCAGTCCTCCACGCACTGCTCCCAAGAAACAGCTGCCTTCCATCCCTAAAAATGCTCTGCCCATAACTAAGCCGACATCCCCCGCCCCCGCAGCGCAGTCCGCCAACGGCACACATGCCTCGTACGGACCCTTCTACCTGGAGTACTCGCTCCTTGCAGAGTTGTAAGTTCTTGACAAACTACTCCCTTTACAAACTACTACACTTCAAATGCCTCTTGAAGGTAAAGAATGAAAGTTATTTTGATGGACTCAGTAAACAGCAGCCACTTAATCTTAAATCTCAAACTCACACCCATCCAGCCTTGACGTTGACAGAAAGATGGAGGCTATCACTGGCAACATCATTGCTCTTACCTGAGGCCTAAGTAGTGTTTATAAATATCCTCTAGTAAATGTAATGATTCTTATTCAGAGCTTGGGTAAATAATATTTAAAGGCAAATTTGTGCTTCAATTTCTGTATCTGTTTGGACAGCAACAGGAAGGACAGAGTGAGGTAAACACAGTACTGGTCAGGACCTTTCTTTCTTTCTGTGGAGTGAGGACTCCGTCTCCTGAAGAGGGGGTCGTGGAGGACGGGACAGCGGGAGGGTGGTGGTCTGTTCTCTCTTGAGGCAGACCTGGCCGGAGGTTTGTACTCCTTTCTGGGGGTCTTCATTGTAGGAGGCCTCCTGACAGATTGAGGGGGTGGTCCCACTAGGCGGAGGTCAGAAAGCCAGACCTTAGGTGTCAGTAATGGGGGCACCGGAGCTGGGGGACTTTATACACCTGAAGGACTGTCATTAGATAGGGGATCCAGTCTGATTTACTCTAAGGACCCCCTAAGGCCAAATTAGGCGATTACAGGGGTGTCATACAGATGAGGGCTCCCTGTAGGAAGAAGCTGACTGGTCACAGAAGCCACAGCTGGAGCACAGTGGCATGTGTCCTCGGAGGGCGAGGAGCACGCCTGCAGAGTGCTGGTCGTGACGACACGGCACCTGGCCTGCCCTGGGCTCCAGGAGTGACCAAGTGCTGATGGCATCTGATTGAATTAATCCGTTACAAGGGCTGGAAGTGTGGCGCGTTCTGAATTTCAATTAGTTTAAAATTCCTTCCTACACAGCTTGGTATTCATCCAGCAGTCTATGTCCTGGCCTTGTGTCAAGGGCTCGCTGTGTGCTGTCACAGTTTAGTGCTTTACCAAGTGCAGCACTAAAGCCGGAGCCGCAAGTCTTCCAAGCCCAGGGGGTAAAGACATGCTCTGAGTTAGAACTCAGTGGCACAACTGGAAAAATAAGTCCTTTCTTTGTACCTGTAGTTTTTAAAGGCACCCTGAGCCCTCTGTCCCTGCACTAATGCTGCACTGGTCAGAGGGTCCGAGGCCCCGGTCTAAAGGGCTGACAGCAGCGGTGGTCCCTTTATACATACATCTGCCAAGCACGCTGCTGTTGACATGCCGAATTTAGGGCCTTAAAAATGAGGTAAGCGCTTTAACGTGATTAAAAGTGACAGCAAATAGGTAATAGAAACAATCAACTAAGGACCAGTAAGCTACTTCTCAATTAAAATTCAGGATTGGCAGGTTGGTGTGTTCCAGGGCCCTGGACTGACATTGTTCTTTCTAAGGTCTGGTCAGGGCTTGGCTCACTGAGCCTAGTGGCTCAGCTGCTAGAGCAATGCGGCACGGCCGGGGGTGGGTGGCCCGGGTCCTCGAAGAGCCAGTGCAGCCTTCGTGTGTGTCCCCCGGAGTGCAGGTGGCTGCAGCGAGGGGTAGATTTAGGAACAGGGCGCTGCACCCGAGCCTCCCCTGGTGCCCACCTTCACCGTCAACACTGCGAGTTAAAGCGAAAGGTGGCCTTCTGCCCCCTGGGTGGTGATCTAACCGGAGAGCTGGACACCTGAGTGAGGCATTTCATTCTTAACGACCTACAGTTGTTTCAAATGGCTTTGGCGTGTGTGTGAGTGGGCTCTGTTCTCTCCAATCCCAAAGCAGTGACTTTACCAATACCCTCATTTGCCCCCAACCTAACATCCAGAACTTAAATCAGGTTGCATTGTTCTGAATCACCTCCAGGTTGGTTTCTGAGATGTCTTGGGGAAGGGGATTTCTGGGAGGAAAACCTGATTCTTTGCGTGTCCCTGTTGGCTTGAATTAACCCGAGGCCCTTGGTGGTGAGGCCAGGAGAGAGGGGTGGCAGGCCATGTGAGAGACTGTGAGGGCTCAGCTTGTCACATTAGGGCAGCAGCCGCCCCTGACAGGGTTGTCCCACCTCTCACGGGGTGGCTGGGCCTGTCTGTGTCATTGACAGCCATACGTTTCACTGTTCTGCCGCTTCTGTTTCAGCACCTTGGTCGTGAAGCAGCGGCTACCAGGTGTCTACGTGCAGCCGTCCTACCGCTCGGCACTGAGTAAGGACCCGCCCCTTTGGTGCCAGTTGCGGCCGGGCGGCTTCCTCTGGCACAGATGTGGGCCCTGACTGGTCTCTGTTCCCTGCAGTGTGGTTCGGAGTAATCTTCATACGGCACGGGCTTTATCAAGACGGTGTGTTCAAGTTCACAGTTTACATCCCCGATAACTACCCCGACGGCGACTGTCCAGTAAGTAGGAGCCACCGTCTGGCTTCATGTGCCCGCCAGAGAGGCACTCACAGGGCCTTACAGCTCTCCCTTTCTTTCCCGAAATTGACCACTGTCACAGTTTGTTCCCTAAAGTGTCTACCTGCTGCGCAGTCTCCTGGGGGGACTCCTGGGCCTGGTTGTGTCCCTGGTGCTGCCGGCCTCCGCTAGGAGCTTCTACGTGCCGCACCCGCAGCCCAGCCTGGGTGCCGGGGTGGAGACCGCCCCCCCCCCCCCGTGAAAGTAAAGGTCATAGGGGAGGTTGGGGACGCAGTTACGTCTCGCTCTCGAGGCACCTCCCTGACGGGACAGCCACTGTCTGCACGGGTCAAAGTACGCCTGTCTCCCCACAGCGCTTGGTGTTCGACATTCCCGTCTTTCACCCACTGGTGGACCCCACCTCGGGGGAACTGGATGTGAAGAGAGCGTTTGCCAAATGGAGGTTAGTGACGCGGGCTCCTCCAGTGACCGCAGTCAGTGAGAGGACGCCTTGGCAACGCGCCCCGTCTCCCCATCTCCCCGCAGGCGGAACCACAACCACCTGTGGCAGGTGCTGATGTACGCGAGGAGGGTGTTCTACAAGATCGACACAGCGAGCCCCCTCCACCCCGAGGCTGCCGTCCTGTACGCGCCTTCGCTTCCTTCCTTCACATCAATTCGGAAATGCAGCTAAGTAGACAGCGTTAGTAACGTTCTGATCTTTAAACACAGGTATGAAAAGGATGTTCATCTGTTTAAAAGTAAAGTGGTGGACAGCGTGAGGGCGGGCACGGCCCAGCTCTTTGAGCAGCCCCGAATAGAAGACCCCTACGCCATCAGGTAGGTGGCCGTTCCCACGTGCGCCGCACTGTGCGGTCTGGTCTGAGTGGGGCTTTCGGGGGAAGCGCATAATCTCTCAGGCTCAGCACTGCCTGCCAGCAGGGTTTCTACTGTCTCCTGGGGGCTCTTCCCTTGAACAAAAAAAGCTTTATGCCAAATAGCAAGCTATTTAGGGTGGCGGTTTCCTCAGGGTTCTTGGTAAAGTGCTCTGCCAAGCGTCAGGACTTCCGTCTGCAGGTGGCAGTTTTAGCTGGAGCCCCTCGGCAGGCAGCCCGGGTGACAGGAGGAAGCCTCGCTGTAGGCTCCTGTGGGGCCGTGGCGCTTGGCCCCGGGCGGGTGTCGGGGGCGGTGCGGGGACCAGTAGGCTCATGCACTTGCGGGGACGGGAGCGGTTCCTTAGTCTACCCTGCCTCCCTTGCTCCACTGTGAACAGCAGCGCCTCCGGGGGGCAGCGCAGCTGGAACGGGCTCTCCCATGGGGGGCGCTCCAGGAAGGAGTAGTTACGTGAGGAGACGGGTAACGTCTGAAGTCACACCTCGACGGCTGATTACAGACCACTCTAAATCCTAAGATGTTAAGATAGTTGCCATAGTAAGACCTAACTACTAAAAAATCAATGCTACTCAAATTTAGTAAGCCAAGGAGTTTTTAAATCTTCCTCTTCCTTAAGCTTTTCTCCGTGGAATCCTGCTATACACGACGAAGCCAGAGAGAAGATGCTGACTCAGAAAGTAAGTAGATAACGGTTAACTCACTATTTGCTTTCTAAAGGGTCTTCACTGGGGAGTTCTCATTCTGCACGAACAACTTTTGGGGAAAGCGCTTGCACAGGGCTGGAATCTCACCATTGGTCACTTTCTGGTGTTTGTTTTGGTTGTGCCTAGAAGCCTGAAGAACAGCACAATAAAAGCGTTCACGTTGCTGGCCTGTCGTGGGTGAAGCCTGGCTCCGTACAACCGTTCAGTAAAGAAGAGAAAACAGGAGCTACTTAGGAGCTGGAGAGCCCGGTGCACCGTGCACTCGCCTGCGGCTGGGCCCAGCTCTGGCTGCCCAGCGGCCGGGACTGCTGCAGAGTAAACTGTGTGAACAGGGACTGACACCGGTGTGGTCTGTGCACGCTTAGGTTCTAACGGCAAGTTTTAGAGACCGCTCCAGTGACGCGTTACTTCTGTCAGAAGTGTCTTAGGGTGGTGAATAGTTCAGTACTCCCAATTCTTGGGGACATTGAGGCTTAAGTATTTTTCTGAATGTAAAGCTAAAGGTAAGTGGCATTCATTTGAAACTAATAGGGTAGACAGAGTTTAGCACTATCTAATGACGTTCAGACCAGCGGTTCAGCTGTGCATGTGTCAGGGTGTGGAGGAAGCAGGTTCCCGAGCTCACTAGCACTTGAAGTGCAAGGTCATTTGAACCTCAGGCTTCAGCCTGCTGTCTTGCTGCTTTACGAGCTGCTGTCACTGAGGTGCGCATTAGGTGAGCGAGAAGAGTCCAGAATGTTTGTTCATGTTGTTTGTTTTTTTAAAAGCAAATTACTTACTGTATTTTTGTGGCAGGAGGGAGAAAAAGTGTTGAAACGGTTTCTAATGAAGTCAAATATTTAAGCAATGAATGACTAATGTGTTTTGTAGAGACAAAATAAACCAATAAATGATGGTTCTTTGTCATTTATGCAGGAAACTAAATACCCTTTTCTCAGTATAACAAAGATTAATTTATAAATGCTTTATTGAAAAATACACTTATTTTCATATAAAATTACAGTAGCAGTAAATATCTGAAGAGGTTTTATAAATATTTTTTGCAGAACACTATTCTAACTGAACAGTGTAAGTTCCATATTTCTCTTGGAGCAAATATGAAGTTACCTAGTAACTCTGTTTATACTGATTCAATTTACAATTGAATTTTCTCCCTAAAAAGGTTATTTGTTCAACTTAAAAACTGCTGGAGCAATACTGATTAATAAAGGTATATATAGATCATTTCAGTAGCTGTTAAATAACCTTTTCTAATTTGTATGAGTGGTACTATGTACTCAAGAAAACCTAAACTGTTCAACCTAAACTTCTTTTAAAATGCCAGGAACACACCCGAAGGTAGGTATTTTAAAACATATCACCTTAGTAGACACATGTCTTTTGGATAACTACCTCCTAAAAGAAGAGGCCGTAATTTTTAATATTAATTCTCTTAATTCAACTTGATTTAAAATCTTCACTTAGCCAGCCGATCCCTGTTAAGGGGGCGGGGGGACTGGAGAATTTAAAATGCACGCCCCAAAGGTGGCTACTGCTGCTTAATGGTTTTAAAAAGGTACAAAAGCATCAAAGAAGATACTGAGTATTTAGCCTAGAAGTTTTGTACTTAATGTAAAGTTCACATTGTAGAAAGTGCCATCACAATACACAGCAAAACCTGGGTACGGAGTCCTGCTCTCTCAGCCCTAAAGTGCCACTTCGCTCACTCGCTCGCTCACACAGCGCACAGCCGAGCACTCACACTGCACCAGCACACGGGGGCGGGGCCGGAGTCCGGGCTCCCTCACTAATGCTGCAAAAATGCAGACTTCTCACACTTCTACCGGGTGTTTTAGAACAAAATACCTAGTCTTTGTGTTGCTTTTCACGAGAGCCAGAGCAGACCACAAAACAGGTAGGAATGAACTGAAACACATGTCGCTGCTGGAGCAAGGTCAGCAGAGACCTCGCACACTACGTCAGCATGCTTGGTTCTCTACAGTACCTGTGAAAGCTTTGCCAGAGAGTTAAAAATCCCAGTTTGGATTCTAAGCAGCACTGATGGCAAGCACTGAGTGGTAGGAAAAAAGGCAGACGAGATGAGTAAAAATAAGGATACTGGAAAGAGTAAGGAAAAAGAGCCCCACAATCTAGCATGCATTAAATGATGCTGTTAAACAGTTTGTGAAAAGAGTTTCAATACAGCAGACTAACCTCAGTGGGCACCTCGGTCATTAGCTACGTCTTGGAGACGGCGGATTAAGGCAGAGTGATTTTCCGGGCAAATTCTTTTGGCAGGCGATTCACTTCCATCTTCCAAAACGATCCCTCTCTTTTTGGTTGGAGTTTCTCCAGTCCGTATCATGCTGTTAATCTCTCTTAGTCTCTAGAGGGAAAATAGATATAAAAATTTAAAATGCTAATACATGTAAATTCAGTGTTAAGGCGAAGTACTGCAAATGAGTTAAGTTTAAGGTTTACCTTAAAGTCTGAACATCTTCATAAAGAAAACAACTAAGTTATACAGCCTTCCAATCCCAGCTGGCAGAGACTGATGGCTGTCTGGGGCAGAGGAGGAGTACTTCCCTTTTCTAGCAAGCTCTGGGGCTTATTTCATGTACACTTTTCCAAAACGTAAGAGTGAACAAATCTGTGATTCCATTTTACAAGTTATAGATCATGACATCTCTATGCCACGTTTAATCAGTTCCAATTTTTTTCAGTCTAGCAGCCTTTCTCAACTGGAGTTTCACAAGAGAAGCCAGCCTTCATTCCCTACAGCATCCTTGTGACTTATTAGTGTGGTCCAGAATGTAACAGTCATAGATTATTTCTGGGAGAACTGAGAGGATGCTGCCAGAGTGCTGGGGACGGGATCTGTCTTTAGGGCCTTTAGCATGAAGTTGGTCCAAAGGCCCAAAAGTCAGTTTATCGCATTGTTTTCTGGGTTAAGGAAATTATGTCCACGTGCCACTTTATGGTCTACACTTTTTGCTGGAAAGCACACTGAGCAGTCACATGCACTTGGACAGGACACTGTCACAGGCCTCCCACGTCACTGCCTCCCACCCAGCGTGTCTGTCAAGGCTTCAGCACCTTCTGTTGAGAAGACTTCTTTCTCCAGCGACTTGCTTTTGGCACATTTGTTGAAAACTAGTTGGCCATATAGAGGGTGGGGCAAAGGAGGCTGACAGTTGTTTGAGCAGAAAACACCACATGAATAAGTAATACAAATGAACCGTGCTGGTGCACTGACAACTGTCTTCGCCCTCTGCCCCAGCCCCGTGCGGCCTGCTCCCCGGCTCCAGGCTGCCCAGTCGACCTGTGGGTCCGCTTGCACAGAACCACGCTGTCTTGAATCCCGCAGCTTTACAAGAAATCTTGAAATCAGTGCACGCTTCAGGTTTTCCGAAAATTGTTATTCTGGTTACTATGCATTTTCATGTACGTTTTGTAACCAGTTAATGTATACAGATAATTCTGCTGGAATATTGTCAGGAATTAGGTTCGATTTATAGACCATGTGGGAAAGAATGGAGATCTTGATACTGTTTTTCAGTTCGTGAATATACGTCTCTCTCCATTTTCTCAGTCTTTAATTCTTCACCAAGATTCCGTGGTGTTCGGGATGCAAGTCTTACACATCAATCATCAGACTTACCTGTTTACAGTGTTTAAAAATTCTTTCACTTCTAATTACTCATTGCTAGTTTTTTGGGGTTTTTTTAAAGATTTTATTTATCTTTAGAGGGGAAGGAGAGAGGGAGAGAAACATCAATGTGTGGTTGCCTTTCGTGCGTCCCCTACTGGGACCTGGCCTGCAACGCAGGCATGTGCCCTGACTGGGAATCGAACCGCGAGCCTTTGATTCGCAGGCCTGCACTCTATCCACTGAGCTACACCAGCCAGGGCTACCGATCACTAGTTTATAGAAATCATGCCACCTCTGTCATCTTCCTAGTCCCAGCACCTCTTCATGGACTTTGTGGCTTTCCTACGCAGGACCCTGCTCTGTGTCTTCCCCGTCTTGCCCTACTGCATTTATGCGCCAGGGCCCACAGTCACCCTGTTGAATGGCAGCGGCGAGCGCAGACAGATGTCCGGGCCTTCTTCCTCATCTCAGGGGAGACAGTCTTTCCCCATTAAGTATCATGTTGGCTGTAGATTTTGTGAAATACACCTTTTTATCAGGTTGAGGAAATCTCCTGAGAGTATTATCATGAAGAAATGTTGGACTGTTTAAAAGGTAACTGTTTTGGAAGTTTGTCTTTCAAAGAATGGGTACATGTCAGCTTATCACATTTACTGGAACAAAGTCGGTTTGCATCCTTCATTAGACTTTTCATGTCCGTAGGGGCTGTACCGGTGCCTCTCACTTCTGATACTGGTAACGTGTCTTGTCTTTCCTGCTTAGTCTATACAGAGACGCAGCTAGCAAATTTTATCTTCTGAAAACCAAAAAAAACTCTTAACTGTCAATGGCCTTACTTTTCTCTGCTTTAAGATATTTTTCATCAACTGTTTTTCCAGCTGTTCAGGTCATAATTTGAGACCTTTCTTCTTTTCTAATACAGGTACTTAGTGCTATGAACTAGGTGTCTTTACACTTAAGTGTTACATATAAGGAACAAATAGGTCTTCACCTAATGTTACAATTTCTACCTTCTAATTGGTACATTTAGACCATTTACATTTAATTGCTATTTGCTTGCTTTTTTCCTATATGTTTTTCCCTTTTTCAGCCTTCTTTTGAAATTGGTACTTTTTGTTTCCCATTTAACTCTTCAATCTACTTGGAATTTGTGGTTATCAGATGAAAATCTAATGTTAGAGAAAGTATTAACCATTTCTTCCAACTCCAATTGGTTTTTGGGACTATTATTAGTAAACCTGTGCAACAGTTGGAAGAAATTCTATTTTTTAATATTTCATCTTCCTATTCAAACAGTTATGTATCTTCATTTATTCCAGTCTTTTAAAATCTAATTCAAGTTATACAATTTTTCTGCAAAGATAAACTTATTATAAGGTATGTGATACTTTGCTGCTATTTCAGGAAATCGTTTTACATTATAAATACATATATTGAAGATTTTTATTTTTAGCAAGTGGGGAAGAGAGGGAGAGAAACATCAGTGCGTGGTTGCCTCTCTTGTGCCCCCCCACTGGAGACCTGGCCCACAACCCAGGCATGTGCCCTAGACTGGGAATCGAACCGGGGACCCTTTGTTTCACAGGTCCACCCTTAATCCACTTACCAACACCAGCCAGGGCCCATTCTATTTTCTAACAGATTTTTTGCTTTGTTTGTTTTCCTAGCTTCTGTTTTAAAAGATTTCAAGCGTACAGAGAGGTTGGACAGACAGCACTCCGACTGCCCATTTACAGTCATCAACATTTAGGTCGTTTTCTCTCTTCTACTTGAACTACCTGAAAGCAAGTTACTGACACTGAAACAGTTCACCTCTGAATACTTCAAGTGCACCCTCCTGCGCAGCCCAGTCCCCTCATCGGTTATTAACCAGAAATTAACCGGAAACGTTACAATTACCAACCCTGAAGCCCAGGTCACATTCTCCCGCTCGCCCCCAGTATGCCCTTTACAGTTGAGTCTTTCTATTGGCATCCACGCATCTGTCCTGTGTCTTTATAGTTCCCTTCACTCCATTAACAGTGCCTTCCACCACCCGCCCTTTCTTCATATTAACAGCTTCTAAGAATACAAGCCTCCCCTGGCTGGAGCTCTGTAAATTGGAGCATCCCCACATACACCGAAAGGTCGCGAGTTCAATTCCCAGTCAGGGGACATACCTGGTTTGGCTCCATTGGGACTTAAGTGGTCACTTAAAAAAAAAAAAAAAAAAGATTTATCTATTTTTAGAGAGAAGGGAGGGGAGGGAGAAAAGGATAGAGAGAAGCATGATCTGTTGCCCCAGGCACATGCCCTGACTGAGAATCGAACCAGCAACCGTTCGGTTCACAGGCCGCTGCTCAATCCACTGAGCCGCACCAGCCAGGGCCTAAACCGGTCGTTTCCCCTGGCAGTTCCCATCAACCCTGCTTCTAGAATCTGAAGCACTCTGGGGTTAGCAGAGGCCAAGACGTAGGTCAGGCTCACCTTTGCAGGACTATTGCTGAAGTAGTAGAAAATCTTTTCTCGAGGAGAAAGCGTCGTTTCACTTTTATGTGGGGAAACGTAGACAGGGTGACGGTGAGACAGCTGGACACGGCGAGGGGAGCCCGTTCTTACGAACGGGTAGGGGGAGAGCGGGGGGGCCTCCGCCTGTCAAAAAAAAAAAAACCAGTGTTCCTTAGAAGCGAGACAGAAGTTCTAGCCGGGTGTTTTTTTGAAATGGTTATTTTGACTGTAAGAGGAAAGAGATATAATAAATCCTTAGCTCTGTGGATGGTAAATAGTGACAGCAACAAGTAAACCTAAAGAAAACCATACGAACAGCAAACGTGAGTGCTCACTTGGTGTCGGTCACTCTCAGTACGGTATTTTTAGCACTGTATGTAATTTTTAGCACAGTGTGTCATTTAACCCTCAGTCACCCTGTAAGCCAGGGACTGCTCCCACTCCCACTTCACGTGGGAGAAACCAAAGGCGCAGAGCAAGTTAACTTGCACGGGCACCACGGCTGCTGAGTGTGGGGCACCCGGAACCCACGCCTTCTCTCTGGCGCTGTCCTCTAGTCTGCAGGGAACCCAACGCCATCGTCTTGTCTAATGTTACACAACAACAGAGATGGTATCAGTCAAATTACTTGTCAGACTTAACAAGAGAACTATTTGTAAAAGTATTTTACAGATGGAGCGGCTCAAAGGGCAGTGTCCCTCATCCCTCTCGAGTGAGGAGGCAAATGAAATGCTCCGCATCGAACTCACTATGTTTGCCTGGGAGTACTTTATGGCAAATGACTTGATCTGCTTTATGTAGATGTTGTTGTAGAACTGGATGAGGTCACCCCTCTCCTCCTCCTCCATGTCGCTGTTGGCGCCCGTGAGGCGGGTCGGTGTTGGCGGCGCGCTGCTGGGCTGCGGGACAGGCAGGGTGCTGCTGGACCGCATGACAGGGCTGGAGTCTCTGCTGGCTGCAGCGGGGAGAACAGACGGTGTCAGACAGAGGCGCTGGTGCAGACCGTTTTTAGAACGAAAGCTCACTAGGCTACAGGCAAACAGCTTCGCGCTCTACTTGTGCAAAGGCAGCAAATGGGCGCTTGATTCTTCGTCGTAGGAGGGAGCAGAGCACAGGTGCCACGTGAAGCACTGACGTCACCCCCAAGCCGTAAGTGGAGGCAGGGCACACTGAGGAGTGTCCATGCTAAGTCACAGCCAGTTTTCTAGGGCCTGGGCCCTGCGCTCAGTGGTGCACAGAAATAGTCAGGGTGGCACTTCCACAGCGGGGTCTCACTTCACATGCCGGGCCCCTGCCTGAGGCCTCCTCTAACTCCCCTGGAGGAAAATGGTCTGCACGGTTTGCCTCAAAGCTATGGGAGGACGGACAGACACCTTTGCCACTAAATTCAGAATTCTGTTTATTATTGCAGCAAATTCTCTGCCATAAGATAATTTCCTCTGTCACTTCACTTAGTAATCCTCAGTTCTCTAGCCTGAAAGGTAATGGAATCCCCTGACCGGACCGTGTGCGCCTCCGTCGCGATCCCACTCACCCCTGTCTTTCTGCTCTGTCGGAGAGTTCTGATGGCTCCTGCTGTCGCTGCCGCCGGAGTCCCTCCTCTTCTTTCTCCCCTTTATCAGAACACTTCTGTAGATCTTAGACGTGACACAGAGACAGAAATCAGTATTTAGTGAGCGCATCCTAGGCCGTATGACCTTCGCGTGTTACTTCTCACAACGACCCCAGGTATAAAAGTTCTCCTCCTCCGGGGAGGTTAATAAATGCAGCCAAGGTCATGCATGTATCCACAGATTCAGGGTTTATACCTGGGGCTGTCTGGCTTGAAATTCCAAGTACTGCCTACGGTACAACAAAGCTGTAATGGTACCCAACCATAAAGTGAAGTCGTTCTAAGCCAAATAAATACAAAGATCTCACATACCTACCCTCTTTAATAGTACTAAAGGTAAAATGAGTTTTAAAATTTGATTGAATATGCTGTGTTTCCTAAACCAGACAGAAAGATGACAAAGAAACCAAACAACTTCCTAATTTAATATCAGTTACTTCATATCATTACCTTTTGGAGGAAAGAGGACTTAAACTAAAGACTTCCTTTAAAGTCAAGTCTTACTTATTTGGCCTGGAGAAAAGGCTGCAGATCAACTCTGGCTAATGTTTTGTATTCATCGAAGACTAAGCTTTATTTTCAGCCCTGAGAGGAAATGCACTTACCTGGCTCCGAGCCTGCGGCTGAGTCCTGTAACAGCGCATGATGTTCTGGAAGGACTTGTCATCTTTCGTGACCTGGAAAAGAGAGGAAGAGGATTTTGAGGGGAACTGGCTTTCAGCAGAATGTTGTGTGGAACACTATAAACTTGCTCCACAGTGAAATTGGTGAAAACTGTATTTAAAAACCAGTCACTTAAAGTCTCTGGAAATGGCCCTGGGGGCACACAGGACATTCTACCCAAGTAGAACATGCAGCCACAACAGGTGGTCAGTGGTGTCTGAGCCGAGACCTGGGACGAAAGAGACAGTGACATGAAGATTTCACTGGAGGAACCGAACAGTGTTCCGCTTACTAGGGACCCGATGCAGTGACACCACCTCCTCAGGAGTCGGGAGGCCACAGAGCAGTGGGGGCGTTCCATGTGCTCACAGACAGACCGAGGACTCCGTCTCCAGCAGAGAGAGATACTCCAGAAAGTTCTTCAAACTAAAAGCAAGTGATGCCTCCAGATAGTGATTCAAATACAAGAAAACACCACCGGTGAAGATCATCGTGCAACTCTGAAGGCAGTACGGAATGTCTCCTTTCTTCTCACAGCCGTACAAAACGATGTATAGAACGCATCAACGGACCTGTAACCTGGGAACACGGACTGCGTGCCGAACACAGCCCAAAGAGCGAGCAGGACTGAGGGGACCACTGAGCAACCAGTAACGAGAGTCTGGAATGATAGGAAAGGTCAAATAATGAAGCATTAACTAAATATTTATACTGTCACACTGTACTCCCTCAGTTCCAAGTCAAGTCTTATGCAATGACAGTGCGTTGTTAAACTGATGACATTTACGGACACTGCGTGTATTCTAATACCACCACCAAAAGGATAAAGAGGAAACAGCTACTGAAAGTAGCACTTCAACATCTCACTGGAATTAAGTTAGTATAAAACAAGCTGAACATGTATGTGTACGTAGGGGTTTGGGGAAGTGGGGAGATGGTCCAAAGGTACAAGGTTCAGTTACAAGTACATTCTAGGGATCAGAGAGCTAATGTGGAGCATGTCACGCTGTGACCGTCATTGGCAGCAATATGCAACATTACAGACTGAAAGCTGCTGAGACAAAAGGAGAGTTACCAAAGGGGGACATTTCGTAATGATAAAATGTCAAAGAGAGAAGACTCAAATTACTAAGGAAATAATTTGATTAAAAAAAAGAGGGGATATTATGAACAACTGTGCTCCAACAAATTAGCCCCGAGGAAACAGACAAGATCCTAGAAAAGCACAACAGAAAGTGACTCCAGAAGAAGTAGGCAATGTGAGTGGACACGACGAGAAAAAGCCTCCATCAGTAACCTGCCCGCACAGAGAAATGTGGGCTCCGTGCCTTCTCTGCTGAATCCCACCAGACATTTAAAGAAATCCAGTTCTTCACAAACTCGTTCAACGTGCAGAGGGAACCCTTCCCGATGTATTACCATCCTATGACCAAGGAAGCTTTATACCAGGAATGCAAGCAAGGTTGGTTTCATGTATGAAAATCAATCAGCAAAACTCTCAAACCAGGATGAATCTTTACAACCTTGGACCTGTCGCTGTATTCTCAGACATCACACCAAAAGCGCAAGCAGCAAAAGAAAAACAAGTCTTCACCAAAACTAAAATGTTTTATGCTTCAAATAATGCTACTGAGTGAAAAGATAACACAGAATGAGAGAAAGTATTTGCAAATCACATCTATCTCATAAGGCAGTTGCATCCAGAATATATAAGAACTCCAAAATTTGACAACGGAAAGCAAACAGTCCAATTCAAAAATGGGCAAAGGATTTAAAGTTATTTCTCCAAAGACATACAAATGAGCAGTAAGCAGATGAAGAAATACTCCTCCTATCATTAGTCATCAGAGAAATGCAAATACCACAGTGAGACAGTGCTTCACACCCACCGGGATGGCTGGACTCAGAAACTCAGATGATGGCCAACAAATACGGTGCAAGACGCTCGGGCCCATTACTCACTAGGGAAAGAGAGACCGAACCACAGTTCCAGTCGATACCCATTGGAATGGTTAAAATAAAAACCTGGCTGGTGTGGCTCAGTGGATGGGGCAGTGGCCTTCAAACCAAAGGGTCACAGGTTCAACTCCCAGTCGGGCCACATGCCTGGGTTGTGGGCCAGGTCCCCAGTAAGGGGCTTGTGAGAGAGAACCACATACTGATGTTTCTCTCCCTCTCTTTCTCCAAAAATAAGTAAATTACTCTTTAAAAAGAAAACAGAACGTTGTCCAAGATGTAGACAAACTGGAATTCTCATGTGCTGCTGTGACAGACAAAATGGCAGTTCTCAAAAAATTAAACACAGGAGGTAATGTGTGACCAGCAACGCCGTTCCTGGGTGTACGCACAAAAGAACCAAAACCAAGACTGGAAAAGACTGGAAGACTTTTAGCCCCACGTTCACAGCAGCATTATTCACAGCAGCCAAAAAGTGGCAACACCCAAGTGACCATCAGTGGGTGAACGAAATACATCCATACAGTGAAATAGTATTCGGCCTTGAAAGAAAGCGACCACTCACACGACAACGCAAATGCTCTAGAAGACATGCCGCTAACAAACCAGGCCCCAAAGGACCAATATTGCACAGTCCCCCTTCCACGAGGCCCCTCTGACCCTTATACAGACAACGCAGGAGGGCGGTCCCCAGGAACTGAGGCCAAGGACAGTGGAGGGAAGTCACTTCAGCAGTGAGTGGCTTCGCGTTGCAGGGGTGGAAATGTCTGACAGAGGCGGTGGGTGCATGACACTGGGCATGCCCAAAACGCCAGGGGACTGTCCGTTTGAAAATGGCTCACTGTCACCTGTGTTCCGCCTCAAGTAATCAAAAAAAAAAGCCTGCTAATGAAGTGCCCGGGAGAACGCAGAGCAGTGGGACCCTCCCTGACAGCTGGAGAGAATGAAAAATGGCACGGTGACCACTGACCGCAGCTGGGCAGTCCCTCAGGCCTTGACATAGAGCTACCATGTGACCTGGCCGCCCAGCCCTGGACCTGCGCGTCAGTGAAAACATCTGTGCAAAAACTTGTGCACAAATGTTCCCAGAGAGCCCAAAAGTGGAAACAGTTCATTAGCTGGAAAATGGATAAAAATACTACGCAGTCATACAACGGAAAAGGATGTTTTCCACTGACCGCGGTGACAGCTGTACAAACTGTGAATGCCCCGAAGTCCACCGAGTTATTCTGAACGAGCGGGTCTGAATGGGCCGAGACTTGCACCTCAGTAAGGCTGCTAAAGATGCCGGGAGAGGGAGGAAGTGGCATCTTTTCCTTTATGTCCCCCAGTACTCACTTTCGCCATCACGTAAATGGCGCACAGTAACAGCTGGTCCAGGTGTCTGTCCATCATCAGTTCAGGACACTGCACTATGGAGAACTCAAAGCAGGTCCAGATTTTCTTCCTCAGTGTGTCTGAAATATCCAGCTTAATACAGAGATCCCGCAGGCGGATCCCCGCTAAGTGGTAAACCTAGCGAGAAACAAACACTTCAAACTGTGCATCTGACACATTTCCAGAGCCCGGGCCCCGGTAAACGTGCGCGAACAAGTACCTTTCTCAGGAACAGCGACAACGAGCTGGTCTTCCGGGGTCTCACGCCGCTGCTGCTGGGAAGCGGCCCTGGTTTCTGCTGCTGTCCACTGGAGGAGACCTGCTGAATGGCCACCGGACCTGAGACCTGCAGGGTTGCTCCTGTCACCTGCTGAGAGCTCAGGTTTCCAGCCAGGGCTTGCGCACTGAGGGGCTGGAGGGAGCCGGTCACGGCTTGTGCCTGTCCCCCCACGTTGACTTGGACGGGGAAGAACGTGATCCCTCCGTTTTCATTGGCGATACCTGGAGTTTGTGACGAAGAAAAAGGCACAAGGAAATGTTGACGGTGCGAGGTTCTCCAGGCGGGGATTCCGATTCCTGCCCCAACTCCCTTTCTGTCTGAACCCTTGTTTCATATCCTCACTCCAGCCAAATCGCGGGTAACTTTCTAATAAATGCCACCAAAAAACTCAGGAACCAACCATGCCTTCCTTACCTTGGACAGGAATGGTCACAGTTTGTCCATTGTTGGCTGTGACAGTGGCTGTTGCCATGGTGACCAAAGTCTGCCCGGGAACTGGTGTGACAGGAACGGCCTCCCCAGGCACATTCGGCACAGGGACAGCACTGACGAGGGGCTGCGGGGGCGCGCGCACCGGTGCCCCTCTGTCAGAGGGGCTGCCGTCGTCCACGAACAGCCGCCTTCTGGTGGAGCTGAGCGTGGGTGGGCTGTGCCGCCCGCCACCTGCAGGGGAAACACGACCGCCCAACTCAGGGAGGCGGAGCTGACCTCCCCCAAGCTGCTGGTAGTGTTCATGAACCAGTGCTTGAGCTACTTCATAATTTAAAAGCAAGTGAAAATTACAGGAGTCACATCATGGCTACACTCAAGTAATAAAAATGCAAGTGAAGGCTATTAGGAGGGCAACGTAGAGGAGCACCGGGCGACTTGGCCTGCCTGCGTCACAGTGCTCCGCCCTTCTCCACTCCGCCCTGGGCTGATTCGATCCTGGCTGTATCCTCCACTACTCCAGGGTCTTGACAAGGCAGGGGCAATCTGAAGTATTCTATTTTTCCATGATATTTTTGACCATATCCAATTTCTACCTAACACTCATGTAAAATATATGATTTTACCATAAACCCACCACCTGATAAGGCGACTTGATAGATTTGATATTCCTATGGTACCATCTGGGAGCATTTATTTCCCCAGTTTTATAAATCTTTGTCTTTGTCCACATATAGAAAATTACTAAAACTCGCCCCGGCTGGTGTGGCTCAGTGGACTGAGTGCCAGCCTGTGGACTAAAAGGTCATCAGTTCAAATCCTAGTCAAGCCCGTGCCTGGGTTGCAGGCCAAATCCCCAGTTGGGGGCATGTGAGAGGCAACCAGTCGATGTATCTCTTGTACCACTGATGTCTCTCTCTCCCGCTCTCCTTCCCTTCCAAGAATTTTTTAAAAAAAAGGAAATTACTAAAACTCAATAATGTCCTTCAGAAAGAATGACGATAACATGTTTTGGATTGAATTAAGCTTTGTTTATTTTTTTTAAACACCTTTCTTGAGATAGAATTCTCATACATTTTGCCCATTCAATGGTTTTGAATGTACTAATTCAGCGGTTTTGGTATCTATATTTTTAAATTGTGGTAAAGTAAAAAATAAGTAAAATAAGTAATAAAATACACTTTAAAAATAGGAATATAGTAATGCAGAGGATGCCTTTTACAGAGACACCTGTTACATTGTGCACTTCCCTGTGCTCTTAAAGAGCCTCTGAAAGCACTGCATGGCACTGTAACACATGGAGCACCTCCTTCTGTCTGGGCCCTACGAACTGCACTTACAGACTGAGGTGAAGTCATGTCCTCGGATACTATGCTCCCAAACATATACCTCATCATTTCAAACAGAACTCACTTCTTCCAAGTGCTCCAGCGTCCGCCCGAACCTCACTCACTCTTCTGGGGTTCAGAGGGGTACCAGCCACGCACACGTGTTCGTCTGCTCTTTCCAGGTTATGAGGGGGCATGACCTGTCGAGAATTGTTCACTCAGAACGCCAGGATTCAAAAAAGCGTTCTAATAAACAGCACAATAATAATATAGGGTGAAGAAACTATCTCGGCTCATCAGTTAATCCATCTATCACCTGACTTTTCCACTTCATACTAAAGTTATAATAAATGCTAGAAGGCTTAAAACTCTCAAAACCTAGTAAGTAGACAATATGTATCAACGTTCCTGGCTGACTCAGAGAAGTAGAGAAGCGAGCATTCTGAGATACCCAAACTTGATTAAGAGATCAAGACAGAACCCCGAACTCTCGCTCTGTCACTGGAAACTTGGGGCAGTCACCAGTCCCTTCTGACTCCTGTGTCCTGTCAGACCCAGGGTGGCAGGACCACATCAAGCCCAGACGCTGGCCTCCCGCCCTGCACAAGGAAGACTGACTGCTCCCGGGGAAAGAGGGTCATGAGGAGACTAGATATCGATGGACTGTCGTTGTAGAAGGATGTTCAGACATTTTCACAAACCTCTTCACACGTAGGGACTCTGTTGTCATTGTCTCTAATCCTGTCCCAGAGCGGGGACTCTGACTTCCATGCCAAATGGTCCAAGATCTGTTCTTCGATCTGGTTGAGGTGTTTAACCACCTCTCTGCAGAGGCCTTCTTCCGCTCTGATGAACACTTCTATCACCTGAGAGGAGGGAGCATGTCCTGGGTTAGTCGTAGTTATTTTTTACAAAAATCATTTAAGTGTAAAAAATGGGTAAACTTAATTTTCTACATGTTTATAAGTACAACAAAGATAATTTATAAAAAATTACAACTTTAGCCCTGGCTGGTGTGGCTCAGTGGATTGAGCACGGGCTGCAAACCAGAGGGTCACGGTTCGATTCCCAGTCAGGGCACATGCCTGGGTTGCAGGCCAGGACCCCAGTGGGGGTCATGTGAGAGGCAACCACACACTGATGTTTCCCTCTCTTTCTCCTTCCCTTCCCCCCTCTCTAAAAATAAAAAAATATATATATTTTTTAAAATTACAACTTTAAAGAATAGTACTATTTTGAAATAACTGTTCTTTCACAGTCTTTATAAATATTTAAACTACATGAATGACTTATATAAAATCATTTTATAGTGCTATATTTAAAAAAGTTTTAATGAAAGAACATGTCTTATCTGTTGAGACTGAAAACATTACTCTTTAAATTTCATACTTAAAAACTATAGCCCTGACCAGTGTGTCTCGGTTGGTTGGGCGTTGTCCCGCAAAGCAAAAGGCCACCATGTTGACTCCCAGTTGGGGCACAGGCCTGGGTGGCGGGTTCGGTCACAGTCAGGGTGCGTACGACAGGCAACCGATCGAGGTTTCTCTCACTTCGATGACTCTCTCCCCTTTCTCTCTCCCTTCCCCCCTCTCTAAAAATATATAAATAAATTAAAAAAAAACCCGAACATTCAGAATGTGCCACTATAAAAATGTTTTGATTGCTGAATCTGAATTAAACTTATACACTAAATATTAAGGAAACAACTACCAAATCAATGCCGTAACTCTGTGCCTCATGTGAAAGGTTAGTTTTGCTTCTGAAAGACACATTCAATAGTATTTACTTTCTGTAAAGCTAAACAAAGAGACTGCTATACAAGATTAGCTAGTGATACGTTTGCTAGTTTTTAAAAGCCTTCTTAAGCTCATAAAATGAAAGAATTCTAAAAGCCTTTATGAAATAAAAGGAACAAAGTGAAGCTTTACTGAGAACAGGTCTTCGTAGCAGAATTTATACAGTTCTTAAGACTGCTTTTTTCTCTGCTCCCCAAAGAGCAGAAATTATTAAACGTGTAAATTAAAATTAGAAGAAATGTACTTAGATATTAAAATAAACGAGATGGCTAACAACAGGAAGTTGGTCTCATCTACAATTTACTAATTAATATCAGATTTTTAAAATTACCTTGTAAAAGTGATAAAACGGCACATCAAATACTTCCGTAATATATGGAAAATTCCCAGGTGGCTTATAAGAAAAAGTGACAACCTCCAGGCAGCAGGCCATGAGTGATTTGTGGAATGCATCTTGTTCCAGAATATTCTGTGAAACAGTTAACATTTAGAAACATTAGCCTACTCAAACAAGACATTTCATACCCAGTCAAGTTATGCTCCGAGTTTGTGAGATGTGCTCGTTTTCTTCCAAAAGTTTTCCTGATACAATAAGTTCACTCTTTTAGCAACTTTCAAAAATCTTACACATTATGGAACAGAGCTGATACAAAAGATTGCGTCGCTAACTACAGCTCGCACCACGCTCCGGTGCTCTGGAGCAGGTGACGTGGAGGGACGTTCCACGGCAGTGCTTACACTGCAAGGCCACTGGGGCAGAGAGACGGCCGGCAGGCAGGGGACCTGGCAGGTGGCTGGGGACCAAAGTCAGCACATTTACTCAGGGTAACCCAATCACAGGTGATTTTCACCTTTCCTTTTTTCCCTTTGTATATTTTCCAAAATTGTACATATTTATTATTTTTTAATTAAAAACTTACATAGACACAAAACCCACAGGCAATAAGGACAAAAAACAGGTAGACTTCGTCAAAATTAAAACCTTTTATGTATCAGAAAATACTATGAATGAAGTGAAAATACTTGCATATCATATTTCTGGTAAGGGGTTACTATCCAGAACATGCACCCAAAAGAACTGAAGGCAGAGACTCAAATGGATACTTGTACATCAGTGTTCCTAACAGCATTATTCACAATAGCAAAAGGTGGAAACTCAAATGCACATCGACAGAGAACTGGATAAACAAAACATAGTATGCACATACATAGGTGATACGTGTGTATATAGTATTCATTCTTAAAAAGGAATGAAACTCTGATACGTGCTACAAGACAGAGGAACCCTGAAAACATGCCAAGCGAAATGGGCCAGACACAAAAGAACAAGTGTCATATGATTATATAATGTACCTAAAATAGGTAAAGTCACAGAGAGAGAAGCAGAACAAAGGTTACCAGGGGCTGCAGGGAGGAGTGTTTGGGGAGTCGCTGTTACAGACGATCAGCTCGGGGTGACGAAAACATTCTGAAGACAATTAGTGAGTGGTGGGGGTTACACAACACCGTGAATGGTCAGTGTGAGTGAGCTTTGCACTTAAAAATGCTTAAGAGGGTAAATTTTATGCAACTTTCACTACAATAAAAAAAATTTTAAATCAATTTCTCAGGTGAGTATACAAGTATCCACTTACTATCAACTGCTAAACTATAGCTATGTTTTATAATCCCTGTGTGTGTTACAAAATTCATCTTAAAATAGCTTTTTAAATTTCTACAGCTCCGTGTACACACACACACACACACAAACGTAAACAGGGACAAGGAATTAGAACAATTATTGGTCAATTTTATAGTTGTCTTTAGAATGTTATTTTTAAAATGAATTTAAAATATTTTCGAGCCCTGGCTGGTGTGGCTCTGTGGACTGCAAGCGGCCTACAGACTGAAAAGCCGGGTGGTTTGATTCCCATCAGGGCACACGCCTGGGCTGTGGCCAGGTCCCCAGTAGGGGGCGCGCGAGAGCAACCAAATGACGTTTCTCTACTTCCCGTCTAAAATAAAATCTTAAAAAAAAATCTCTGATGCAATTAAAAGTAAATATCACTTAAAATCGATTTACATTTCTTGACTAGTAAAATGTAGGACAAATAATTACCTTAGCCAAAGAGCAATGGCTGAATAGTTGTGAAAGTCCTACCTAAATATCTGTTATAAATATTCAATACTTACTAAGGAACAGTCAATATTCAATTTAAGGCTACACAGGGCTTGAATAAAACCTCTCTGCTGTTTAAAACGGAGTGTCTGAACCCCTGGCCAGAGCGCCGCTGCGTTTTGACACCCGGCCTGCCGCAGTGAGGCTCTGAGTGGGCGAGCAGAGCCGGGGCTGGAACCCAGGTTTCCCTGGGCGCCGGTCTTATCCCCTCAAAACCACGCAACACTCTCTTCTTCAGTAAAGGCCTCTTTCGTTTTGGGGGTTTTTGGTGGCTAGGGCCAACAGAGACGGCACGTTACTGTGCCAATCAATACACTGGTTGTTTACTCACAGATAAATCCATGTCTCCCAGTCGTCTCTGTTCCTGCTCGATGACAGTCTCTAACACTTTGTAGTAAAGCATCTCTGCAATACGAAACTGTCTGCTGGCAACCTCTGCACGAATAATGAAAAACAATGATTACATGCAAAGACAACAAATACTGTGAAAAGTGAGGGTTTATCTCATCCCCTCATCCACAAAATACAATTTAAAGCCAACACAGCTTAGTGCATGCACTTTCTACGGCTGCTATTTCCATGCCTAAAATGCTTTATTTTTTCATGATAAGCTATATTCTTCTAAAACTGTGAAATTAAATTTTCACATAAAAAACTATAATATCATTCCACTAAGATTCATATTTTTTGGGGGGGGAGTACGTCTGAACAGAGGAGTTCCATGCCAAGAGGTTTACTATGCCATTCATGTTTGTGCTTTTTTTTTTTTTTTACATCAATGTATGGTTGCCTTTTGTGCGTCCCCTGCTGGGAACTGGCCTGCAGGGAACTGGTCTGCAACCCAGGCATGTGCCCTGACTGGGAATCGAACCGCGATTGTCTGGTTCGCAGGCCCGCGCTCAATCCACTGAGCTACACCAGCCAGGGCTTCATGTTTGTGCTTTTATAACTCGTAACATCAACTCCCAGTGCAGATCTGAGCATGAAAATAGCTGTCCTCTGTTCTTGTTCTTAATATTTGGGAAGAGTCGCTATACTTCTATATTTAATCTCCAGTCTACAAATGAAAACCAAGGTTTTTCAAACAAAAAAAAGTCCCAGAAGATCAACATAATGAAGATACCGGTCTAAAATTTCTCTTATTGAGAAGAGCACAGAAACCACTAGGTTGACAAACAAACAAACAAACCAAAAACAAAAGCCATATTCTAGCCCTCAATCTAAAAGCCTCAACCTTTTCTTCATATTTCTGACTCAGTTACCAAGAACGGACTCCAGGCAGTTAAGCCTCCAGGTGAGAACAATACAGACCACAGTGAGCTTCACCTTTGGCAGCGTTACTGGCATCCTCATCCGGCTGGGAACGCTGAGAATACAGTTCAGACATTTCTTTCAGTCTGTTGGCAATAGCCTGGGTTGGATCTCTAGAACATGTCCTAAAAAAATAAGAAATTACCTAATTTAAAGGTCTTACCACGTTACAAAGTGATAAACTGTTTACAACTCTGTATTTTTACTAACCTATAAAAATAAAACACAATGAACACAAACCACACACCCTCCAAGCTGATCCAGGGGCCCCATACGGCCTTAACAAAGGTGCTGGGATGACCATTGTCAGTGATGAAAATGTCTTGTGTAAAGTCACGCCTTTTACCGCAGCAAGTTCAGAGACCCCACCCAGGGCCCGTCCGATGTCCAGACCTGGCCCCACCCGACACATCTGCAATTACTCGTGACAAAAACCGCTCCAACTGTCTCCCCAGGGGCTGCCGTCTCTGTTACGGCGGCCCGAACAGACTGAGACGCTACGCTGAGGGAGAACTCTCATCTTCCAGCCGTACATCTTACACCGCTACGCCACCTGCAGACGAACCACCGTCCTCAGCATTCGGCCGACACAGAATTAGTAATGAGTACGTGACTGAGTACGTGACGGCACTCACAGTGAAAAATTACAACAAAAAACGAGGGAACAGACCACAGCCAAATCTTAGAAGGTGAGAGAGGCTCCAACTAACCGCAGGATCCGCTGCAGCTTCCCCCCAGGTACTCCCCGCAGGCCCACCAGCAGGGTGTGGAGCCGGCCCACGCTGTGTGCAGCTGTCGAACCCGGGGTCACACAAGGGCTGCCGTCCCTCGTGTGCCGCACGCCGGCCAGTGGGGTGGAGATTCTAAGTGCTTTGGCCTACGCAGGGGAAAGAGAAACACCAATTTTAGGTCAGAAAGACTTTTCAATTCCTTCACAAATGAGAATTGAAGGCGATCAGACTTTGTGTGTCCTATTAAACTTCAGTGCTCCAAATATCACCATTCTTGGAATTTAAACATAACGCCACTAAGAGCCACCGTTCCCACGTGAAGATATGTGAAAGGACAATGTGTGTTGAGCCAACTAAAACGTTTGCCCCTTCAAAGTCGAATCGTTAAGGTAAAGCACATTTCCCCATCCTCCCTCCCTTAAAACTTGAGCACGAGGGCAAAAGAAAGCACTAAAAAACTAAGAATATCTTTGAGGAACAGCTAGCATCTACTATTTTTGTAAATGCCCAAAGACTGACCAAAAAAGGCTGAAGATAAACCTGGCCCAAATGAAATCCGCGATTTAACGAAAGTCCATCTACGTGCCCAAACCGGCTGCAAAGCCAGGGCAGAGCGCACACGGCTGACACGGGCTGACATGGGCTGACACGGGCACAGCCGGGCACAGGAGGGCCATCCTGACCCGCCTCCGCCGGCAGTCACCCGACTCTGTCCCAGTGTGCTCCCTCAAAGTAGACAAGGCCTCGCATAAGTTTAAGTCAACATTCTTGAATATAAACATGAAAAATATATAACTTAATATCAAAGAATTTAAGCATGACTATACACGTTAATAAAGTATCTTTTCTAATTTTTCCAACAAACTCTTAAAGGTTAAGATAGCTCGAGTGTTTTTAATATTTAAGATAAAGCATATTTCCCAATGCATTAAATGTTTTTATTCTAGAGAGAGCTATAAAAACACCTAGCAAAAATTTCATCTGGCAACACAACCATTCAAGTTTGAAATACAGAAAAGCACAGAAATTAACCATACAAAAATAAATGACTACGCTTTTCTGTCACTTAAACAGTAGAGTCAAGACCTCCACTTTGTTTCAAAGAACTTGATTCTACACATTTTCCAGGTCGGTAAGATGACGTGGGTAGATCAACTACATTCAGGGGGCTGCTCCCCGCCTCCTCCAGGCACCGGGGCCAAGGCCCAGCTGGGAGGGCGTTTCCGAAAGCAACAGCAGCCAGCAGCATTTCACCACCTGGCCTACAGGTGGCAGTGGTCCCACAGTCCTCAAGGTCCCACCCTGAGCGGATGGCTCCAGGACACAGACACACACAGCCCTACCCTCGGTAGGGAACTTCATTCCTGCATCTCTAACGTACCTCCTCCACTTCTCTACTAAGATGCCTAAAAGACACCCCAAACCTAAGAGGCTCTTAACCCTAACTCTCGATTTCTTTCCCCAGATTTGCTCTCCTCCCTCAATAAATGCTGACAGTAAGTATTCATGGAATGCCTACGTGCCAAGCGCTGAATACAGTTAGTCCCCGTGAAGCTTACAGTCTAATGCAGGGAGACAAATAAACAATTACCCCCATCTCTCTCTCTCTCTCTCACTGCCAGACAAACCTTTTCTTTCTACTTGCCTACCACCAGACCGTGACACATGCTAAGAGTAAGAGGGAAAGGAAGTCCGAGGGGTGCGGAGGACACTGGCCACTCGTTCACGCAGCGGTCAGTTATGGCAGCCACTGCATTCCTACCACGCTGGGCCGCTCTCTGTGCCCCCAGAACGCCGACCATGTGCCCACCTCGCGCCTTTGCACCTGCTGCGCTTTTGGCTTCAGATACGGTCTGCAGTCGGTCACAGGACTCCCTCCCTCACTTCAGTCCACGCGTTTTACCTCCACAAAGACGTCTCCCGGCCACCCTATCCACACAGCGCACGGCCCACGTGTTCTCCCTTCTCCATGACACTTTGTACTGTTACTCTGTAGTTCTTCAGATATCATCCATCTGATATCCTGCGTATTTACCTTGTTGGTTACGCACTGTCTACCTCACTACACTGCAACACAAAACAGGACCTTCAGCATCACCAGGGTGCAGAATACAGTCTGGCTGGCACCTGGAACACGTTAACAATATGTGTGGGATGAATAGCCAAACCAGTCTGAGGTCTGACCTCACAGGTGAGTTACCCCACGCTACCACCCACACCGCCCGTGGGGGCCCGGTCAGAGCTGCTGTCTGCAAAACCGCACAACAGAAGGGACACCCTCGGTCTTCTTCACCTTCAGTGTCTGCACGAGCCAATACCACGTGACCCCCAAACTCAGCTCACTGGGATGTCCAGGCCTACGGAGGCTCGGCTCCTCCAGTCTCTCACACAAAGGCCCCTACTTTGGTCAGTGAGCAGCCTCTAAATGCCTGCTATTTCCGACATGCAAGGGCTGTTCATTACTGCCCCATGCTTTCAAACCAACAATCATCAGCATGAATGGTTCATTTACACTTGTATGAAATTCTCTTCTCTCAGATTTGGCCAAACACTTTGAAAGTTAATGTCGACAATAAGTAAATCAGCACACAAAAATTGAGGGAACTTTTTCATTGAAGGTGAATTTTCTCTTCCACAACGGAAATGAGGAAGACCCGCACACGGCTGCGGAACGCGACAGGCCCCAGCGGCGCACCCCCCGAGTCTGACCTCCCGGCCCGGCTCACCTTGTCGTACTGCTGCTGCAAGATGTTCTTCACCTGCGCCCTTCCGCTGTTCTCTGCTCCTGAACCGACACTCAGACACCTGCAGAGCGTCCCAATCTCCTCTTCAGCATCCTCTCCAAGAAATACCCTCTCATCTAAGTTCCCAACAGATAAAACGTACTCCTCATAGGCCTTACTGATGGCTTTACTACAGGAAGGGGGGAAAAAAGGCAAAACACACTCAGAACTGCCATTTCAGTTCACGCTGTAGCCCACTTAATTATTTTTCTAAATTTTTTTTTATTTTTAGAGAAAAGGAGGGAGGAAGAGAGGGTTAGAAACATCAATTTGACAGAGAAACATCAATGGGTTGTCTCACACAGGCCCCAACCAGGAACCAAACCCACAAGCCAGACATGCACCCTGACTGGGGACTGAAGCAGTGACTGTTCCCTTTGGGGGACGACGCCCCACCAACTGAGCTACACCAGCCAGGGCGATCCGCCTGATTATTTCGTATTTTTATCTGCTACAAGTTCTGTTAACTTCGTGAAAGTTCAACCTCAGTGGGATCACTGTTAGGGGTCAACACTAGGAGCGGTCTCACCCTGCACACACCCCCCCACCCCGAGGCACACCCTGCGGACAGACAGGCCTGGGTGGGCCACTGCACCACCCTGCCCCGGGGCTCAGCTTCCGGTGAGAAGCCTAATGTTCTCCCCTTGCTGTTCCAGGCATCATTTTTCACCTGTACAGCTCCAAAAGAATTTCAAAAGTTATGATCTGAAAGCTTAACTACTAAAGCTTTCGAGGACATCAATACACCTTTTTTTACCCTCACCTGAGGACATGCTTATGGATTTTAGAGAGGGAAGGGAGACAGAGAAACAGCAATGTGAAAGAGAAATGTGGATAAGGCTGCCTCTCGTACGCCCCCTACCGGGGAACAGAACCTGGTACCTAGGCACGCGCCCTGACTGAGAAGCAAGCCTGTGACCTCCTGGGTTTATGGAACGACACTCCAATCAACTGCGCAGACCAGGAAGGCTCAACACAATTTGTAATAAATTTAAAAATGACTAAATTAGAGTAATAGTTGAAATTTTTATTGTTTCCTTGTATCTACCACAAAGCACGTTCTTAATGTCCAAGGTACAAACTATAAAAACACTAAACTTTGAGGTTTTCTAAGCACATAATTAAATATTAAGATAGGTTTCTTATTAGGCCCTGGCTGGTGTAGCACAGTGGATTGGGTGCAGGCCTGCAAACCAGAGGACCGCAGTTCGATTCCCAGTCAGGGCACATGCCTGGGTTGCAGGCCAGTTCCCAGCAGGGGACGCACTAGAGGCAACCATACACTGATGTTTCTCTCCCTCTCTCCTTCCCCTCTAAAGATAAATAAATAAAATCTTTAAAAAAAATAGTTTTTTTTTAACAGAAGTACTCACAAATTCTCTCCAAAGTTGCCAGGCTCTAAAAACCCAGTAAGATTCTCTTCTTTCCCTCTAAGGAGCTACGGATGGAAGAAAAGGTCCCTAAGTCACCACGTTAAATCAAACCTTTCCCCAGAAAATCCTTTCGCATCATTCTTTATTAATTTCGAACCTTTTTCTCACAAAGCTTCCTTATGTAGGGCTTCCAGAAATGCTCCTTTATTCCTTTTGCTTCCAAAACTAGGCCGTCGTGTAAAGAGCAGAGCTTCTCGATGACACAAGGCGGGGCTTGGGGAGGTTTAAAGTCTTTAGCCTGGAAATCTTCAGACAGGCCTGTGACGGACAGACAGAACAGAGGTATCAGGCAGCATTCACACTAAACCAGACTGCGATGAACGAAAATACAAAACGCGGAGTCTGATCGGCATGAGTTACCGCTGCATAGACAGCTAACAGTGTAGAAGGGCCGGACTTCACTCCAAATATGCCTCAAAATAGCAAACAGAAGTCAAGTGTTCCACTACCCGAAAGATTTAGTTTTTCAATCATGTATCCAGAGGTGGTTAAAAAACTACAAAGATCTAAAACCTACAAATACATAAGTTTGCAAGTCAGCCTCACATTCAACTAAAAAATACCCCTTAAAAAATTACTATCCAAAGTGGACAAGCTGCTTATATACTTACTTGTAATGAATTATGTGTGTTTATCATATTAATTTACAGCTAATCTTGGCCCAGTGTCAGTGGGGAAAAAACAAGGGGGAAAAATGAAGGAAAGCAGCTACACAGAAATACCAAATGGAGTTAGAAAGGATATGGGAGAAAAGGCAGAAGACGAAGAACGATAAATTTACTAAACCAGGAGCAATTTCAGTAACTAGCTCAACTTCAAAAATCTACTCTGCGAGTCAGACTGTACATAACTGGACCCGCCCAAGCTGACAACCACTCACAACCCTACCACGGCACTGTTCAAATGGCAGCACTGTTACATACTAGTAATGGTACATAACAGTAAAAAACGTCCCCCCGAAAAGCCTACTGAGGTCTGTGAGGCTCATCCTCCACCACCTGTCGCAGGACGGGTGTCCCCCACAGTGGTCCCCCCAGTGCTCCCTGCCTCGCTACCACAGGCCCGGGGCCTCCCCAGGCTGCTCTGGACGGCATCCAGGGAGCCTGAGGTGTTCAGGGGGTGCTCGTTCAGCTTCACGTTGCTGAGACCACGGATACAGCCCGCCAGGTCCTCAGTCAGGGCTCCACTCTCCTCTGTCTAAATGCCCATCCCATCCGGACTCTGGGAAAATCTAACGAGGTCCTGGTTCCGTCCAGCTCCCGCTGGTGTTCCCAGCCACGCATCAGGGCAAGAATACTGATGCGTGGGGTCGGTGCTGGTAGGCTGGCCCTCCTGGCGTTCCTGATAGTGGCGGGTGACTGTCCCATGAGCAGCCTCAGCCTTAGTGGTCTTCCCACCTGGACAGGCCAGCACAGATGTCACTGGCCCCGGGGAGCCCAAGCCCTGGACCGGGGATCCAACTGCACACCTTCACCACTGCCCGGCAAACCCACACAACGCCGTCTGGACCCCGAGGACCCAAGCCACCACGCCACCCACGAGCCGGTGCTCATTCCAGATCACAGTCTTCTCTTAGTCTTTTTAAAATTTTTATTGTAGAGAGAGGAAGGGGGCAATGAAAGAGATGGGAGGGAGGGAGGAAGAGACAGGAGACGAGAGAGAGAGAGAGAGAGAGAGAAACATCGAACTGCTGATCCACTGATTCATGCATTCACTGGTTGGTTTTTCTATGTGCCCTGACTGGGGATCGACCCTGCGATCTTCACAAAGCAGGACACTCTAACCGACTGAGCTGCCCAGCCAGGGCTGCCTAACTTGGTCTTAACAGTGCTTCTCAAAGATCTCCTAAAAGACATCCCTGAAGCACCCACCCTGGGCTTTCAGAACGGTGTTCTTGGTGTTGAGGGGCAGTGGCCATACCTGGATGGCCTGCTGGAAGTGCTGTGTGCAAAGCCTGAGGTGGCCTCGTCAGTGTTATCCACGCCTACACCCGTGCCTCTGCGGAGAGCCCGCACCCCTCCCACTCCTCGGCCCTGCTGCTGTCCTTCAGCGTGAGGACCGTCTTGAAGGGGCCGGCCTGCTTGGCTGCAAAGTCTCTGGCCTTCTACTAGTTACCATGGGCACGCCAGCCAATGGTGAAGGGGTTGGTCCGGCCAGGGACAAGGTGGAGATATTTTTGCACATGTTGGGCTCCCAGAAGACCGTCCCACCAAGAATGTTCTGGACGGCTCCACAGGGACACTTTCACATCTTCTTCAGCTTGAACTCTTCCACGTGGGCCTCATTGGGGGTGATGGTGGCACACTTGGCAGCCTCACTGTGGCCAGCACAGAGTCGATGGTTACCTGGTCTTCAGTTGGGTCAAGGTTTAGGAGCCCCAGGTCAAAATACTTGAGATGAATGTCCACATGGGGCAGGAGGGATTTCCTTGATGAGCAGCCAGACACCTGGGGTCATCTCATTGCCATCCATCTGCAGCACTGGCCTGGCCAGTTTGATCTTGTTGCCGACACAGTGGCACCATGACCGGTCCTGCAGGTTGGAGCCCCACGCTCTGCCAGACGAGGTACAGTACACGGGCAGCCCGTACCCCGAGCAGGCAGGCAAACTGGGTGGGCGAGACTGAGGGCTGGCCCCCACTGCAGCCACCTGGCGGGGGGCTGCCCGGACCTAGCCATTCCCACACAGCTCTCACCTAAGAGCTGCCGGTCCATTTTCCTTATTTTAGAACCAGAATTACTCTTTGGTGGCAAAAAATCTAAAATGAAGATTCTTTCAGTAAGCTCATTTTGAGCCCTTTCAGTACACCAGGCATAAAGCTCCCCAATGTAGAAAAATGCCATCAGCTTTTTCATCATCTTTGTTACTCTGGATTTCCAAACTCCGTCTTCTGGTTGAGTATGTATTTCAGAACCTTCTAGTGGTCATGTGAGACTTTGAGGCATTTGCAATTGCTTTTTCCATAAATATTGTTACAGACACCTTGACCCCTAGTTATAAGAACTACGAAAAGCAACAATGACAGAGCCTTCAAAGCACTCATGTGGTCTTTAACACTAAGAACCCCGTACCATGCACAAAACTCCCAAGAGTAAACATGACACAGAAATGTGAGTTGTCCGATAATCTTTGATTTACAAACTTACCTTTAAAACCGGGGTTCAGAAGTTCTTTACGATTGGAGCACTGAACGGCGTTTCCATAGACTAAGTCCAAAGCACACAGCAGAAGGTGGTAAGAATTGACCAAATCGTCACTAATCATGGGGAAATTACCTACAGGATTATAGAGTCAGAGAGGTAAATATGTGTCAATTTTATAATGTTAAAAACAATTTCTCCCTTTCATTAAAATGAAATTATACAACACTGTACCAAGAGGACTCAAGAGCTAATGAGTTTTGGCAAATTTACATTTTGAAATACTACTCTTATACTTTAATCAATTACTAAGAATTTAATGAAAAGTAAAACTTTATTAAAAATGTCATTCGTTCACTCAGTATTCATTAAATAAACATTTATTAAATGACTAGTAGCTGATCAAAATTGTATCATCCTTGGTTTTTCCTTTGAAAACTTGGGAATAAAACTTCACAAGTTATCTCAAACTGTAAGAAATTGTTTCATATAAAAATATTGTCAAGAAAATTCGTAGAAATACTTAAATGTAAGTAGCTAAAATTACTCACGTGTAATTTTTTTTATGTATGTACTTTTAAAAGACCATAGCCTCTAAGCAGACTCCTAACAATAACATTTTAAATACTTTTCTACATACGAATGTAAGGTAATATAAATTAATGCAACGGGACTACAATTAAAGATACTTGAGATCCAGAACTGGTGTCCCACAAATCGTGGATGCTGGACAATGAGGATCCACGCATCCTCACAGCATCCTCACAGCATCCCCACAGCATCCCCACAGCATCCTCACAGCATCCTCACAGTGAGGATGCTGTGAAAACAGAAGCCAAAACTTAGACCCAGAGAAACATGTTGTGTCTGCGACACTGGTTTACGTCTAACAGGGAGAACAGTTTTCACAGGCCGTTCAACAGTCTTGTCATTCTTCGAAATTAAGAAATATCTCTAGTTTTATAACTTTGAGGATATCCCCCTATTCACTAAACACTACATGTGTATACTTCATATTGATTTTCCGTTCTTATAACAAGATGAATGCAACTGAAATAGCTAACACACATGCACAGTAATCATTCCGACCCTCAACATCTGCGCACTTGAATGCTCCCCCAAGTGTACGCACACAAACACACACTCACACTGCTTTGCTTCAGGCTTTTTTCTCCTTTCCGCCAAAGAAAGTGACCTTTACCTCAGCCTACTAGGATAATTCTGTTTTGTACAGATAAAAACAGTCAATCAACTTAAATACATCAACAAGAAAAAATATTTTTCTGTTGCCAGAGAGGCAAACGATGATTAATGGGTTAAACGTCACATTGATGAAACCACACTAACCTACTTGGCTCTACTCTAAATGTTTTTAATATTAAAATACACTCAGTTCCTCAAATGTGAAACAGGAAGCGGTGGCGCTCACGGGTTTCAGGCTGCAGCGCCCGAGACAAGCCCGGACTTGTCACTGCTGCCCACTGGCCGTGGAGGGCCACCCCGCAGCACAGCGGGGCCCCACGGAGAGCCGAGACGGCCAGAAGGTCAGAATCGGAGTTAAACCCCAGGGCTGCCGCTAGTGACGCACTTCGCATTTCAAACCCTAACTTCAGAAAGAATCTCGCTGTGAGATAGTTCGTCTTCCAATCAACAAAATAACCCGTGTCGCCTCCAGAGAAGATCTGGGGCTCTCATACGAGACAGGGAGTGGCACCTGCTGGTCTCTGGGCCGCAGAGCCCCCCACGGGGACAAGCCTCTGGCGAACACACTCCAGGAGACGTCCACACAGGAGAACATCTTCTGCCAAACACCTACCATCAGGAACTGAAGGAAACCGATTCAACTGCTCTCTGAGCAAAGGCCCTAGAGAATTCGCAAAGATCCTAGTCCTGGATTGTGAGGGGCAAAGGCTGCTCGGATCGAACACTTACAGACTAAATTAATAGTCAGCTAAAACTCAGTTAACTGCAGAGAAAAAAAAGATGCCACCCCAGCTGATCGAGTGAGACCAAAATCAATGGAAGGACAACGAAGTTACTTTAAAATAATTTACATAGTATATTCACTGCCCATTACACATATGCCATAGAAGACCTACATGAAACCAGAATCCTAGAAGTCAGATACGTACCTGCCCCGTCAAGTGACAAAAGTCACCGTAACACACACATCACACCGCCCCGACCAGCCAGAGGGGGCAGCAAGCGTCGCCGCCAGTACAGAAACGGTTCACACGCTCCTAAGCCTTCCTTTCCTGCTGTGGTCACATCACCTTTGTCTCCACCAAAGAAACACGTCAGCGTGATGGAAAGCAAAATACCTAACTGCTGACTTTTTGTGGAAAATTCTTCTTTTCAGTGAAGCATGCAGCTCAGGGACGGGAGGATGACCTTTCAACTAGCCAGCTAGAAAGGAGCAGTGTTACTCAGACAAAGGACACAGCCGGACCGACGGAATGACATGTTCTTGCCGGAGGGCCTGCACTCCCTGCAGGAAACCAAGACCTGGGAGCTCTGGGGTCAGACCCTCCCTCCGTTTGCGGCAGCTGGTTTCTGGGGCTCGGCTGCCTCACCTCTAGTGTAAATAAGCTAGGCTACGTGACCTAATAATGAGAATCTCTTATTCATGAGACTCCTTGCAGCTCTCAGGTTTTTAAAAATGTTAACTGCATTTTATTGGGCTATCTTAATGGCAAAGGCACCCTGGGCAGTCTCCAGGGAAGAGAGGCATGTAAAGTATCAATACGTAACTGCACTTTCTTTCCTTCTTCAGATTACCAAGAATTAACTCTTCGGAGAAATACAGACGGGGGGGAAAAAAAACCCCAAAAACGTCTTTCGCTGAATGCAGACCTTGAGTAGGTTAAGTGAAATGAGAAAACAGGAAGAGAAACTAAAATTGTACCTCGAGGCATTTGGTCAAGCGCCTTTATCTGCACAAGATGCCGAAGGGAGTCTGACCGACTGAGGAGGACCCCTCCCACCCAACGAAACAAGACTTGTCTCATGAAAAGTGCAGCTTAAGGTAGAAGCACTGGAACGCTGACGTGCTTCCAGGCTACGATCCAGAAAACGCACGAGGGTAGAAGAGATATTATCGCATAAGAACAAAATGTGAAACTTGCCCATTTCCTAAGAGAAGCTTTGGACCTTGTAAAGGAGTAAAAATACTTTTTAAATAAAAAGGCAATACTTAACAAAGAACCTGTGGATAAAACCACTGGGAAATTTTTCAATACGAAGCTTTTCCTGAGACACATTCTAGATCGGCACAAGTAGTACCCAGACATTTAAACAAACTAATACCTAAAGTGACGCTGTTCTTCCCTTACCTTTTGCATATATGAAAAGCACCCAACAAAAATGGAAAACTTCAGACGCAGTACAGGGCTGTCGCCTTCGGGGGAGAAAAAAGCCAGGAGATAACAGAAGAATTAGAAAAAGACGTCACCCATGACTGTACATTAGATGGGAAACAAAACCCACAGTTAGAGGAAGTCAGAGCTGATTCACCTCCCTGGGAAAATGGGCGAGGACTTCTACTGCAACCACTAATGGGTAAGGAATCAGCTGGGAGCCCGAGAAAGAGCTCATTTCAGAAAGACAATTCTTACCACCTGTCTACTAATGGACAATGAGTTAGTTAAGTCTGTAGACTTTGCAGACATGATTAGAAAGCACAAATTCGTAACAGTTTCAGCTTCCCATTGTCTCCCCCAATCCAGCTTCTCAACTTTTCACTGGTTAACATCGTAATATAGACAAACCACTTCGTGGGGATTATTTAGTACTCAGTTTAGACATAAAATTCAAATGACAGAAATAGCCCTGCCTGGTGTGGCTCAGTGGATGGAGTGCTGGCCTGTGGACCAAAGGGTCACCAGTTTGATTCCCAGTCAGGGCACATGCCTTGGTTTCAGGCCAGGTCCCCAGTAGGGGGGCCCGTGGGAGGCAACCACACATTGATATTTCTCTCCCTCTTCCTCCCTCCCTCCCTCCCTCCCTCTAAAAATAAATAAAATCTTTAAAAAAGAGAGAAATAATCAAAATGTCTTAGAATACAGAGAAAATGATACAAATACTCAGTAATAGAAAATCTAGTAGTCAAATTCCACACCCATTTATTTTGGTGGAAATACGTGTTCTGACTTTTGCATTTTTGGTTGCTTAAATGAAAAGTAAAAGTTTGTATAAACAGAAATCCCACACAATTTACAATATGAAAGCCAAACCCTTCATGGCTGACATATCATGAAAAGTAAGAAATTATTATTTTAAAAAGCTATCAGAGAAGTTATTTATGAAATCACATTTTTTTACGACTAGCAAAATAAACTATAGGACAGAAACCAAGGAATCAACACCGTGGCCCAGACAGACACGTGTGTGCCCTTAATGAGCAAGGTAAACGCATACCGCTGCTTTCTTCCTCGTGGTTGACGAGGCTGCTCCTCCTGAGGATATTTAAAAATTTCCTGGAAAATGGGCTCGTATTTCTTAAAAACCACAGCAGACACAGTGAAGTTCCTTTCCAGTCTCTCAGTGCGCTCTCTGAAATGTTGGGGTAGGTTTGCCATTTCTTCCCACTTCTTCATCTTGTTAAAAAACTCAATTAAACTGATATTAAAAAGAAAAAAATATTCTAAATTAACACAAGTATACAAATATGACTAAAAGTAAATAAAAGTGAACTCATTAAATTATATTTCCGACAGTGCTATAAAATCAAAACTCATGCCTCTGAATCTCCAACAGATTGATTTCTCTGCTTTCCTAATCAACCTTTTCTTAAATTACTTTTAAATTATAAACTTAAAAACCAGTAATTAACTAGAGTAACACAACCGACATTCACGTATTCAAACGCCTGATTTAACAAATACTAACACAGTGGATCAATTTTGCGGCACCTGCGTCTGGTGGTGCTGCAGAAACAGCCAACGTTAGCATTTGCCCTCCTCAACTCCATTCCCCTTTCCTCTTCCCCAGAGATAAACACTGTTCCAAAGTTGGCCTGAATGTTTCCCATCCGTCTTTTGTACTTATTAGCAGTGTTACTATGTGGATATATTTGTATCCATAACAGCACCCAGTATCTTTTGCATGTGTAGTTACAATTTTATATAAATAGTATCATACTTCAAGTAGCATTTTGCAACTTGCGTTTTCATCAGTAAGGTTGCTGAGACTAATGTTGGTACCTGTAGATCTCGGTTGTTCATTCTAATTGCAAAAAATATTCCTTCATACAAACTACCACTTTTCGCATTTGTTTCCCAATTAACTGAAACTGAGTTTTCTAATTTTCCATTGTAACTAAAAATGCTGTAATGAACACATTCTTGAATATGTAAGAGTTTCTTTACCAGCTACCCCAAGAAGTAGGATTGCTGAGTCAGAGAAACGTGCATTTTCACCTTTACTAGGTAACTAGCAAATTTCCACTGAAGTGTTGTGCCAATTATACTCTCAGCAACGCGTACTAGTAATACAAAGTTCCTATTTCCCTATGGAACGACCAATATGGGTGTTATCAGACTTCATATTTCTCTCATCTAATGAGAAAGAAATGTTACCTTTTTTTTACTTTGAACTTTCTTGATTACTAGTGAGACTGAACACCTTTGTCTATGTCTATTGGCTGAGTTCTGTCCTTCATGAAATCATATTATTTACCCATTTTTTTTAGTGGCCACTTGTCAATTATTTAACCATTTGTTACTAGTTCTTTATATAATCCTGGATACTAAGCTTTTCTCAGTTACAGGCATTGCAAATATCTTCTCCCAATCAGCTCTTTGTTTCTAATCCATGTAGTCCATTATGGCCAAAAAGTAAATAATCTGAACCCACAGGTAAAAAATTAAAAGGTAAATGGAATTTCTCAAAGGGGAAAGAAACTGAAGCCCAAGACTGTATTACTTGCATTTAATGTTAGATAAGTTTCATTCGCTAGGGATTATAATGATGATTTTATCATTTGACCTTCGTTTCTCAAGCCCCCCAGTCATGTAACTGGATTCATCTGCCTCCACTTTCTTCTTCGTAACGATTATCACCTGGCACCTGATTGAAGGCGCTTCTCGAGTTTCCAGCCTGGTGGTCAACTCTGCACGCACTGCCGCTTGTTCTTAGGCCTAAACATAACTTGGATGAGGCTAAGAGTCCATAAGTATACTACAACTAAACTGTTACATTTGGTGTTAGTTATTTTAATAGTGATTTTTAAAACCTCTAGGTTCATAAATTATGACAACTGGTATTCAGTCTCCAAAATGCCAAACTTTTTTTTCCATCAATCTTTAATAAGCTAGAGAAAATGCACCCAAAAGGCACGAATAAATGTAATCAATTCAATAACACAGCAGATAGAAAAAAGCTATTTCTGCCTTTTCTTGGAAGCACTGATCCTTTTTATAACTGAGTATAACAGTGTTGCCCACACCCCCAAGTACGATGGATACTACTTGGACGTGGTAAAGGAAAACCATGACCTAGGTTCAAAATTTGGCACTCCACAGGTGCAAATGCTCAGAAAACGATAAGGGGAATTCTTACAACCACTATGAGTTGCGAGCTTGTATATTAGTCACACTGTTTCAAACACTAACAGAGTTACCTCTGCTCTGAACAGCGCAGGAGTCGAGTTAAAGATACGTAGTTTCCTTCAACTGTCCCTTTGCTTACAGTTGGCACAGATTTTCTGCAAGCCACATACAAGGCACACGCTAACCAATGAAGATCATTTCCCTATAAAAGAAAAGTGACATGTTGTTAATGAGCTATATTTCAATATAAAAAATTCTTATGTTTCAAGGGGAAGTGATATTTGTATGTTTGTGGGGAACTGCATTTCCAGTGACGGGTCCCTTGCTCTTCTTGTGATGGCATTTTCCCCTGGAGCCAGGAATCTGTGTTCCCTCACTTTGAACTAGGCTAACCAACAACACACATGAAAGCCAAGTTATGTGACTTTTGTAACCATCACAGAAATGCAGGCTCCACCTGGCTCCATCAGGGCTAAGGCCCCGGGAGACCCCGGAGCAGAACACCCGGGGCAAATTACTTAGGAGCCACGCAGGCTCGGTCTTCTTATCTGAGGGTGGGAAGAATGACAAGTATGAGGCACAGAAAACACAAGAAATTTTTTTCAAAAGATAAAATTCTGTAACCAGTATTCTGTATTAAATGTCACATTCCCACACAGCGTACGTGACTACCAGCTCCACAGGGTAGGGCGTCTCAGTTTTGGTCACTGGTCTATTCCCAGCACCTACAACAGTGTCTGGCAAGGAACAGGGATCAAAAAATATCTGATACATGAAGAAACACTCACCCATTATTGGGTAAACCGAGCTAAGAATCTGAGACCAAAGTCATAAGAAAATGAAGTAATCAAACACATTTTACGAAATAATTTACTGACCATTTGTTATTTGTCACGTGCTTGTAACACACCACTGGACTTCGCAACTTAACCTCTATGGGCTGAGCCACCGAGACTGCAGGGTGCGTTCTGTGTGATTGATTTACAGGATTATCTGAGGGTGATGTGGGAGCTCATCTGGAGGCACCGAAAGCTCATCAGCAGGGAGAGTCTTCGCTCTGTGCCCGACCCCAAGCACCACTGGGGAGCAGGCAGGAGCGTGGCCTGCTCAGCTAGATCACCTAAGCATATGAAAGAGCTTTGTGGGCTCCAGCAACGTCCTCCCGAGTGCTCTGTGCCAGAAACCTCATGTTGTCACCTCCTTTAACCGTCAGGACAGCTCTGGGACCTACGTACAAGTATCTCTCAAGTTGACATATCGCAAAACTGAGCGTTGCAGTGGTTAAGTAAACTGTCCACAGTCACCAGCACTAGCTTTCCTTCTTTTCCTATGCATATAATAACAACGGGGAGAGAAAGAGCTGCATTAAAATCCTACCAATGGAAGAATAACTAAAAAAAATACCCTCAGTGGTTCATGGGCAAACATACCCTCAGGTTAAATACCTTTGCTGGGCCTTCTCATCTGAAGCCTACTTGCCCAGCTCTTCCCACAACCTGTAAAACCACTTCAGAAAGTCACGTGGCTTCCTGTTTAAAGGCTCGCCACGGCCGGCGGTACAGCTGATAAACAACCCAGACTTCCGCGTGGCTTCCCATTGGCTCGCTCGGGGGCGGGGCCTGCGAGAGCTGAGCCTCACTGGCTGGAAGGGGCGTTTTTCTGCTCCGCAGGCCCGGTCCGGAGGCAGGGACACAACAGGCCTAAATCATCACAGCGACTCTAGAGTCCAGTGCAGTGCCTGCGGCGACCAAAAGGTGGTCAAGGTCGCCGCTGCCCCACCCCACCCCACCCCCCGCCTAGTGACTAAGTGGGCCGTGGGTTAACACCCAGGTAGGCGGAAAAACCATCACATTCGCCCTGGAAGAAACCCCTCTGGTACTCACGAACACACGCACAGCCCGAAACCGAACGCGTTTATTCAAACAGAGGCGGTGCCTGGATACAGGCGGTCTAGTTCGGCAGGCAGGGAACTGGACACGGAGACCAGAGCCCTAAAATTGGGTTGCTCTCCCAAGCAGGTCCCTCCCCGTCTTCGTGCGGTCTTGACCACGGCACCTGTTCGTTCTGCCAACCAGGTGGTGGTAAACCACTAATCACGACCCCAGCACAACCTCAGCCCGGCAGGGCTGCCTTAGGGTAACAGGTGTTCCCCATTTGGACCCCCAAACGGAACAGCGGGAGTGCGAGAATCGCCTTCAGGGCCGCCAAGAGCTTTTCAAAAGCCAGGGGTCCAGGACTGAGGTGCGCAGAGCGGATTCCTTCCCACCCCGGGGCCCGTGGGAGAGTCCGTGCGCGGCGCCCGGTCCGGGGCCAGCAGGAGCCCCATCCCCGCGGCGGGCTCGACCGCTCGGCCCGGAGAGACCCTCGCCTGCCGCCTCCCCAGCCCGCCCCCACTCCCCGCAGGCGCACCTCCAGCGTGTAGCTCTCGCTCATGCTCCGGTAGCTGTCCCAGGCCTCGGCTCGGGCTGTCTCGTCCATGTTGAGACGGCAGCACAGCTCTTCGAACCGCTGCAGGGTCTGAGGGGTGGGCGACAGGGCCCGCGGCGCGGCGACCCCCGCCTCTCCCTCTTCTTCCTCCTCCTCGGAGCTGGCCGCAGCCGGAGGGTGTGGTGGGGGTGGCGGCGACTCGTCGCCTGCGGATGCCATATCGCACTCTTGGACCTACGATCCTCAGGTGGACAGAATAGCCAAGCACCTAGCCATTCAAACTGCGAAGCGCCCGCCCGACGGCCGCTTATAAGACAACTGCGCCGCGCTTACGGCGCGTGACCTCACGTAGGCACCCGTACTTCGGAGCACGGCCTGCTGGGAAATGTAGTCCGGGCCAGAGGACCAAGAGGGTGGAAAAATTCTTTTTTCAAGATTTTATTTCTTTAGAGGGGAAGGGAAGGAGAGAGGGAGAGAAATATCAGTGTATGGTTGCCTCTCATGCGTGCTCTGCTGGGAACTGGCCTGCAACCCAGGCATGTGCCTCCACTGGGAATCGAACCGGGATGCTTCGATCTCAGGCTGGAGCTCAACCCACTGAGCCATGCCAGCCAGGGCTTGAAAAAAAATTTTTTAAATCTGTCTTACCTGGGCTGAAATAAAAAGCGGCTCATGATATTACAAGTACCTTCCCGACGTGAGATCATTCTGCGGGGCTCTATTCACGAGAAAGCACTGACGTGAGACTATTTAATATCCAAGCTGTGAGCAGAAAGAAGACTCATCACCTTGGTGTCCTTAAAGAATAAGGATAGGAAGGGGCTGTCTACCGAAGTTCATTTTTGGCCTTTCTCCTTATTTCTAGTTTTCCCTGAGTTTAAATTGTATTTGAGCCATTTAAATAAACATTGGATTTTTAAAAAGTAGTAATTCCTTCTCCCTCCTCCCCACCCCAAGGCCAAATGTTCACTGTGACTTATATGTACTATCCTCAATTAACTTTACTGCTTTATTTTTATTTTGCTTTCTCTTTTCCTATAGGTACAATTAAATCAGTTTATTCCCAGTCCTCTTTGGTATAGTATACAGCATTTTCATGCTTAAGGAGCAGGAAGGCCATGCAAACTGAGGGAGAGAAATTCTGGGACAAAAGCCAGTTTCGGGAACTTGAACAGGAGCCTGGGATAGAGGTGAGGGCGCCTGAAGGCAGAGAGGATGTGGGGAAATGAAACCAGACGAAGCCCTGCGCCTAAATCCTGCAATGAATTGTCATTCAAGTTGAGCTTGATTTTTCTGGGCTGACATAAGGTGATCTAGGGCAAGCACGGAGGTCGAGTGCAACTGCCTTGTAAGTGTTTATAAGTGAGTTTATAAGAAAGCCTAGTGCTTTCCTTATATTTATACTGAGGATAACAAATTTTAGAATAATGATATTGCTTATTTTGGACACCATCAACACTTGACTAGATGAAAAAATTGATTGGTTTAGAGGTAAAATTCTCTTTACCAATTTTAGTAAAACAATGTCATTGGAAGTAAAATTTATGATAATAAACCATGAAATGCTTTGCTTGTTAGTACCAATATTTTCCAAGTCAACAGACTCTGAATATCAGTTTGATACTATCTTCCATTTTAAAAGTACATATACAGTACTTGAACTATTAGAAATTTTATCATTTCTATTTCTCCTCATATCGCACTATACCTACAATATTTTGTCTTGTTCTGTGCTTTGAAGTCTGTTCTTGATCTTTCATATTTCCTGTCATCAAAAATGTATGTACAGATTAATTTCTCAGTATCCTTCTGTTTATTCTTTTATGTCAGATTGAGGAATACTTGGCATGCAGTGCAACTTGCTTTGAAGTGTACAGTTCCATGAATTTTGGCAAATATGGTCATGTCCACCACAACCAAGATACAGAACGTTCCATCCCCCAAAGTTCCTTAAGTGCCCCTTGGTAGTGAACCCGCTACACAGCCTCAGCCGATCACTGACTGATCAGTTTTCTGTCCCCATGGTTTCCCTTTCTTCCAAAATGTCATCTAAATGTAATACACATTATGTAACCTGTGACTGGGCTTCTGCAGGGTGTTGCATGTGTAGGTCATCCGTCCCTTTTTGTTGCTAAGTCCTATCAATTACATGAATGTTCCCATGTTTATTTATCCATTTGCCAGTGGAAAACAGCCAGGTTGTTTTTGGTGATTATGAGGAAAGCTACTACTCACATTCCTGTGTATATTTTTGCATGACAGAAGTTTTCATGTGATCCAGCATTTCTTCTCCTGGGAGTTTACCCAGAGGAAACCAAACCACCCCTGTGTTCATGGCACTGTCATTTAGAAGAGCAAAAAGATGTCAACCTGAGTTCGTCATCAGAGGGACGGATAAGGAAAAACTATATATAAACCCAAGGGAATATAATTTAGCCATAGAAATGGAAATCCTGCCATTTGTGACCTTGAGTGTATTATATATACGTGAAATAACTCAAACAGAGAAAAACAATTACTGTATGATCTCACACATGGAATCTAAAAATAAAAAACAAAACACAAACTCATAGGTACAGAGAATAGATGGGGGCAGAATGGGTGAGAATGGCCCAGCGGTACAAACTGCCCAGATGATTAAGTCCCTGGGATGTCATGTGCAGCGTGGTGACTGTTGGTAACAATGCTGCATTGTATTGTGTTTTTGAAAGTTGCTGAGAGTAGATCTTAAAAATTCCCAACACAAGAAAAAGTATGGTAACCGTGTGGTAATGAATGTTGATTAAACTTATTATGGTAATCATCTCTCACAATGTATACGTACAGCAAATCATTTGTGTTGTGCACCTAAAATGAATACAATGTCAATCATCTCAATTAAAAAATCAATATTAAGAGGTTTGGTTCTTGTGTCCTGATTATTCACTCTCATTCATTCATTCATTCATTCAGGCAGGCAGAGAGCCTCCCATGCATCCATCTATTTGAATACTCCACAAATATCAGGGCCTGCTATCTGTCAAGAACTTTGGCAAACACTGAGGGTGTAACTAGTGAATGAGATAAGTACGCTCTCTGCCTTCACAGAGCTTGTGAGCTCCTGGGTGAAACAGACCTAGAATAAGTAATTGTCAGATGTAAATTAAAAAAAAAGAAAAAGAAAGAAAGAAATTCAGGGAGGTACAGGAGTGCATCATGGGAGACTGTAAGCCTGTGTGAGTGTGTGAATGTGTGTGTGTGTGTGTGTGTGTATAGGGGCTCAATAATTTAGTATTAAATAAATTATCCTGTCTACATATTAGAATCAGAAAGTCCTTGAAAATGTTTTGGAAGATCCTTTAATGACATGGAAAGATAATCATGATATAGTAAATGAAAAAAAGGTTACAAAATGGTATGTACAGTATAACTCCATTCTTATTAAAATAATATATAATGTGTATCTGTAAAGAAAACTGACCCGACAGTTTACAATCATCTGAGCGCACAGCATTATGGGGGGTGTTGTTCACTTTGTGCTTTCCCTGCTTCCCTCCCTCTCCCCAGATTTCCCATAATATGCATGTCTTGGTTTTTATTAAGAAAAAGAATTTAAAAATTCCTCAAGATGTTATTTTGCCTATTAACTTGGCAAATGTTATTTCAAAGGACAATACACAGTATTGGTAAGGATTTGGGGTAAATGAACATTCACAAAATGTACCCTGCTCACGGTAGTATAAATTGCTACTAATGGCATCATTATAAATTTGGCAACACAAATCAAAAACCTTAAAAACTGAGGAAGTACTTTTACTTCTAGGGACAGAGGACATCATTAGGGATAGATGCAAAAAAAATGCATATATAAACCCAAATATCTATTTTTAAGTACTTGGTTAAATAAATTACGTCAGTATGAGCCAATACTAAATTATCAGGATGAAAAATCACATTGCAGGATACTTATTGACATAGGTCAGTAGGTCAAGGGCAGTAGAGTAAC